TTTGTGTTTTTGCAAAAATTTCGATCGTTGGGGAAAAACTCAAAGCGGATTCATACACCAAACTTACAGGAGTATACTGTTATATAACAGTTAAATCAAATAAACATAGAATTCTTTGAAATGACGTCATCAAATTGTTGGTGGGGATGATTAGCAAAATTTTCTAATAATACATACAAAATTTGACAACAAGTGTCTAGTAAAAATGGATACAGACACCAGACAGACAGACGGAAACGAGAGACTACATTTTCCGTGCTGTAGGGGCATGAAACGTCGAGAAAACATAAAGGTTATTTTGACATAACTTCCCCCGCCCCTGCAGTACATTTATCTAAATTTTTCGAAACTTTATAAATTTTGATTTTGCGAACTTTATTTTTTTATGATAATCCCTCGAAGTTAAAATAAAGATATGGGTGTAATAAAGGCAGATAAGCTATTCGCATTCGCAAAGGATGTGTATTAATTTAGATAGATGAAGTGTAATAATAGCAATAAAATGAAAAATTGAGTGAGCCTTTCTTGTTTTCCATAATAAATTGCCTCATTCATAAATTTTTTTGAATCATTCTGTATAAGCAGTTAAGTATAAGGTGTCACTCACAAGAACCATACAGATTGGAAACGTCAAAGAAAACTGTGAATTGTTAACGGCTATTCTGCCATCGAAGACTAGATTTTGCATCGGAACAAACACATTTTTCTAAGAAACCATAAACTCGGTATAGAAAACGGAGACAACCGATGATCACAATTATTTACAATTGTTTCTACTTATTTGATAACTTGCCTTATTTTTTTATGCAAGATCGGGGCTGGCGTAGGTGAGACTAAATCTTCGGCTTCTTTTTGCTTAATAATAATTGTTATAGTTTTCTTTGTACATATTTTTTTAAGAACAGCAAAAATCGAGTAAGTAGTTAAAAATGTTTGACCTAACAAAAATTGTCAAAGTTTTCAAAACCCAACGTTAAAATGTTCGCAGTTAACTTTAGTGTTTTATTTTCGGATAAATTTACAAGAATCTGATGTTTTGTTGCTGGACGAACTTGAAAAAATATTTTCAACTTTTAGTGTTTTATTTTTTACGAATTTGAAAAAGTCTTGACTGCCGCAGTGTTTTTTTTTTTTTAATCGGGAGACTCTTGGGTACCTACGGTGCATTATTTTGGAAGCCCAAGGAGATTTTTTTTGTAAATTATTATTATTTAAAACAATTTTGGGCGACTTTGGCGTCCTATTTTGGAAAAATCTGACCTGACCTTTTCTTGAGTTAATTTTGGGATCCGATTTTTTTTTTTGAAAAATTTAAAACAATCTTGAGGTTATAGGTATGCTTGTTTCAAAAGAATTTGAAAGTACTCTGGAGCCTCTAGTGTCTTTTCTTTTAGTAATTTAATTAAATTTCTTAGAGGATACGTCATTTGCTAAAATCAGTCTTATCTTAGCAGATACTAGCCCCACCCGCCCGCCCTCTATTTTTTTAGAGAATATGTCAATTGCCAAAATCAGTCTTATCTTAGCAGGTACTAGCTGTCTAACATTTCCAATATTTTGTCTTATCTTTCGACCTATCACTTCTTTCCTTTCTTGTAGAGACGAACTTCGTCCTACGTCATTGTAATGCATTGCAAAAATGGACATAGTCGACGATATTGTTGGGAAATTATTCCCGAAATTTATCCCAAGCCGCTTGAATCGAATACTCCCATATACCGTCTACCTTTTGTCCATTCTATTGGAAATGTAATTTTTGAGTGAATACTCAAATACGCAAATAAAGTTCTAGAAAGAACTAACTAAGAAATAGAAAACGTTTCATTTGACAGTTGTTAAAACCACAGCAAGATTGATTAATAAAATGGTGCAAAATTTAAATCCAAGTTAAAAATAAGTTTATAAGGATTTTGGTTTTTGTCTTTTTACTTCCCAAGCGTAAGCAAAGCATTGTAATCGAGCCCGTCGACTGACTCTCTACTTTTACTTTTTCTCGACCTCTTATGAACCCTACAGAACGACGAACTAGGTCTCCCATTTCCATCTGTCTGTCTGTCCGCCTGTCTGTCCGTCTGTCTGTCTATCCGTCTGTCTGTCCGCTTGTCCGTCTGTCTGCCGTCCGGGATTTTTATTAGACAGATTATCTCCGAAAGTACTGGCCGATTGTTGTCAAATTTTGTATATATATTAACAATATCATGTAGATAGTAAAACGCTAACCAAAATTTGTCTAATCATCCCCACCAATAATGTCATGACGTCGCTTCAAAATTGTACATAGTAAATGGGTTTTAAATTGTATAAAATATATAACATATTTCTACACACCGGGTTGAGTTTTGACCCGAAACATCCAGATTTTTGGAAAAAAAATAAAAATTATAAACATTTTGCAATTTAATTTTAAATCTGCAAAACCGAATGAAAATTGAAATTTTGCAGATGTTTCAAAGTTATGATAAGCATGATAAATTTTTAATCAAAATATATTTACTTATCTCCTTCAAAAAATTGATGACGTCAGCTTATAATTTTGCCGAATAAATCCTAACTAAAATGTACAAAATATGATGACTTGTGATTTATCATTCCATTCATATTTTTTGGATTTGCCTATACAGGGTGACTCAAAAAAATTAATGAATGCGTGAATTTATTTTATTGATTTAATCAGAACTACAAAATCGAATGCCTTGAAATCTTGGAGATGTTTTAAGGTTATCATAACATAAGCATGATAAATTTTTGATCATAATGTATTTGCTCATCCCCCCCTAAAAAATTGATGACATAACCTCAATATTTTGCTGAACAAATCTTACTCGTATCTTAAGTGTGCAAAGTATGATGAGTCTATACCTTAGATCATATAATAAATAGATACCACCATGCCGTGTTCTTTCCCTAGCAGAGCCTGTGACGACATCCTCCTGTCACGCATCTCTCTCGTACATGGAGGGATTACAATGAAGCTATCCTTGCCTGATCACTATTTGAATTTTGCGCGCCTAAATTTTAGGAAGTATGTCTGAACTAACTTCGTACGAAAGATGTTGACAGCTTGATTTTATAAATAATTCACAGTAGATAATGAAAGGAATAGTAAATTATTGGGCAGCAATTGTGATCCTTTATGATTACATCACTTAAAATAGGATCTTTGTTCTAAATTCTAAAATTGTTTTTTGTACAACAACTCGAAAGAGAGGTTAGGAGAAACATCTGTCAAAAGCGATTTGTTGCGCTGGTGCGGTACAAGGATGGAAGTGAAATAGACATATATAGATGAAATGCATATAACAAAGATGAAGATGTGGTGATCACACAAGGATAGCATTATACTACTCCTCTTGACGTAGAAAACGACAACAGATAGCTTCATGTCTAGTCACAGCTTTCAGTTTGAGTATTGGTATCTATTTATTATATGATCTAAGGTCTATACTTGTAATTTATCACTACATTCATATTTTTTAGATTTGCTTATACAGGGTCAGTCAAAAAAATTAATAAATCAGTCAATTTATTTTATTGAATAAATCAAGAATTGCAAAACTGATTGCTTTGAAATCTTGCAGGCGTGTTAAAGTCATTTTAAGCATGGTAAATTGTTAATCAAAATAAATCTGTTTATTCCCCCCAAAAAATTGATGACGTTATCCCAAAATTTTGCCGAAAAAACTCTACCCAAAATGTGCAAAATATTAGAGTGTTTACTTATGATTCATCATTGCATTCATATTTTTTATTGGTCAATTAAGAACGAGTCACCCCATTTTCCCGAAAATGTGAAAATACAAACGTCTTTATTTAATAAGAATTATAATAATGATATTCAGCACATTTTGTCGATTGTAGCTTACTACTTAATAGTTTTGATCCTGTGTTTTGAGGGGACAAACTGATTCAAATCAAACTAATTTCTACGTGACATTCTTCCGATGTATGAACATAAACACTTTTAAGTTGTTTTCCTTATCGAGGATAACCTAAGGTCGTACAGTAATGGAGTCCGTTGCGCAATTTGGTACTTTAATATTTTCTCGATATTTCATAACCCCTAAACAAGACCGTAGTTAGGGGGAGGCTAGGAGATCCTGAGCCTCCCCTAGATCTAGACAAGTTATAATTAACCAAATGTGAATTACAACATCGAAAATCAAAATAAAATGTAATATTTTATTCAATAAGAGGAAGTCAGAGCAATAAAAAAGTCTGGACCGTCGCTTATTGCAATTTGTAGAAAACATCTTTTAGTTTAGTTTCTGTTTAACTGTTACGTCTACAGGTTGATAAGTGTTTTCGTTATTTGTCTCAAATTACAAGTACTATAAATCATTTTCAGTTCGGTCTTCAGTCACACCTCTGTTATACATACGGTAGACGTGATTAAATTGTTTCGTTATTTTATTGATTATAAATTACTATTCAAGAATGACAATAATGCAATACCTTTATTATTAGTATTACAATGAATCTATCCAAACTGATGTATGCGTCCTTGCAAAAATATGGATGCCATCAACACAAAATTTTGCAATATAAAAACTCATGTAACAAACGGTTAGCACAGTTATTTTTATTTTAGCTTATAATGGTTGCCATAAAAAAACAATGAAATTCGCAAAATCATTTTTTTTTATTTTTCGAAATAGGACGGTAGTTATGATGTTTATATTATCTTTCTTAAAGACTGGACAGATACGGGAAGATAAGAAATAATATAAAAACAGTTAAAATAATCTCAAAAACATTGATAATAATTGATTCAGACGTACACCTTTTACCTTTTTTTTAAGTCCAAAGCCTAAAAAATTAAGACAAATGTATAAACTATTGTTGTCAGAATAGTGCTTCACTTGACCTCAAATCATACACTCAGACTCCCACCAGATGCAAATACTGAATGAGTAAATCAAATTGTTCATTTAAAATACGTAGTAAAAAATTCAATTCTCTAACAATTACATGACTAACAAGATTTTTTTCTTTGTCCTCAGATTTTATGGACGGCACTGTCCGTAGCCTTAGGTTTAGAATTGCGTGGCGAATACATACGGGGCGTCCCTTGCATAAAACGTCACCAGCAATTATTCTGCCCAACGGCAGGAAATTCCTACCCATTGTGAGTGAAATCACTCAATTAGCACTTTTTCCATCACAACAATGACGAATTCCGTTTCCAGAGATCGTATAGAATTATTCATAGACGAGAACAAGGCACTGATGAAGAGGATGTACGGGGAGTTCGACATGGGATCACCCGAGTACGGTCCTGCGGGCCGGAAAAAGAAGAGGTCGACGAAGCCGGGCGTGCCGGACCTACACTTCGATCCGGGACCGGATCCGGGCGGGAAAACCGGAGGAGAATCTTTTTTCAGCCACGTCAGAAATCCGCGCCAGAATTTCAGAAACAATCAGAGCTCGGAGAGCGGACGAGTCGACGCCTGCGAGAGCAAGGTGGAAATTGTGACGCCTTATTGGGCGTCCAACTCCGCCGGAAAAATCCGGGCGATCGTCAACACGCAACACTTCGAACAGGCCATCCATCAGGAGGTGTGCTCGTGAGTATTTACAATTAACGGTATTTTAGCGCTAAAATGCCAAGCACTGAATTATTTATATGTGTTGCTGTTGGTGGTACCGTTAGAGTTTCCACGTCACGGTTGTTTTGGGAGGAAATAACAAATTAACACTGTATTGGAATTGTGTCACTGCACACCATCGAACTATTTAAATTAGACCACAAGACCTTCTCATTCTATTTAAATAATTCAATGCTGACTGGGTTTTTTCGTGTAAATATATTTGTAACGGTGCCTCACATTTTGTTCAGCTGACAACTACGCGTTTATTAGTGAAGATGTGATTTGGCGATGAAAACCGGGTTTAATGACAAGTTGCGTAATATACAACAATGAAAGTAAAAGTGCCAACTGCCCCCGAGCTGACGCCCCCCGACTTTCTAATATTAAATGGGTTTTTTTTATTACTTGTGATACAGTCGCGGTTTCCACTCTTATTTTTTTGCTCATTGTATAATAAATTTTTTTCACTAGCAGCCACGACGCATGCAAATGTCGACTCATTTAGAGGGAGCAAATTCAACTTTTGCGACCACCGGTTCAAAAAGAAAAATTGAGGTTATGTCCGCAATGTTTGATGTGATTATTTCTTAAAAAATGAACAAATGTGTACTACAAACATTACTTGAGTATACGCATGGTAGTTGGTAGACGGTAGAAGATAAAATGATTAACTCAGCGACAAGTATAAACGGTTTTCTTTGTGTTGAAGATTTAGATCAAGTTTGATTAGAAATCAAAACAAAATCATGTTGCGTCAAAAAATTTAAGGTTTATTTTTTCAGTTTATTGTCTTATGGTTTCTGCTAGTGAAAAAAATAGTATATTAACCACGGTTGCAAAGCCACTTCTAGACCTCGCGCTTCAGAGCCCTCGACGCTGCGCGTCTCGGGTTCTAATTTGCGCTCGGTCTAGAATGCTTGGCTCTGCAACCTTGGCTAATAATATACTATTTTTGCAGAAAATAAAGATATATTAATTTATTTTCATAATTCAGTTACGTTCACTATATGATAATAACAATTAACTTATGTTAAATGTAAAATTGCTTCCACAAAAAAGAAAATAAATACTTATAACCGATTTATATTTCGTTTTTAAAACTCATTTTGTTTGTTGAAACAATCTCGGTGCGAATTAGCATAAAACAAATATTGAAAAAGGTCAAATACATTTAAGATATCAAAAATATATTAAGATACCAAACACTCTAAAATGCGAGAGAAATTAAAAAAACGGAAGTTGTAGGAAATATCAAAAGTTAAAAACATCCGAAACGTTCAAAAATGTTAAAATTAAATTGCGAAAAATGTAAAAAACATCAACATTTCAAAATTTGGAAAACAAGTACGTATAAAATATCAAAAGTGTCAAAATGGCAAAGATAATGTGGAAGTTTTAAAAGTAGAAACAAATCACTTAACATTAGCACATTAGTACATAATTCAGTGTGGAAATGTCAAACATTTTAAAAAGTTAAAAACATCAAATACTTTACAATTACTGGAAATTTCAAAACTCGATGTTACAGAAACTAAAAAAATCATAAAAGCAAATTTTGGAAAATGTGAAAACATTAAACAGTAATATCAATAAGGTCAAAAAGGTGGTATAGTGCATCAAAATTTTTATACAGTAATTATTGTGATATTAAAAATCAAGACGGATAAATCAACCATAAGTACAGGAGTAGATATATTATTTGCTACGCAGAAGGTTGGAGGATCGTCATCAAATTGTTAGTGGGAATGACAAATTTTGATTAACGTTTTACGATCTACACGATATTTCTGACGTAAATATAATAACATTTTACAACAATCGGTCTAGTAGTTTTGGAAATTTTCTGTTTAATATAAATAAACACAGTTGTGTTTGATCGTGTTTTTACTGTCCCCCCATAATGTCATAATGGGTAAAATTTTGAAAAAACATTGTATAAAATGACTGGAAGATCAAGAATGTACAAATTGTGAAAAATTTTAAAAATTAACATACTTTTTTACCACGAAAACCGACACATCTTTTTTGATCTGGAACCATTTAGAAACCGCCAACGCTATTTTAATTCTTGACGGATATTTAATTTTAATTTTAAAATATATGTAAAATATTTAAACCAATTTAAATTAAAACAGTGGTAATATTTTGTGTAAACATATGTTATTTAATAGTTTGCAAGGAACAACGAATATTTTTCTATTGAAAACTTGAACTCTAGTAGATTTGAATAATAACCACAACAAAATTTATTTTTTATATGTCTTATTTTTATTCAGCTTTTATCGATATGGAAAGCTAAAATCTTGATGCTTACTTTAAAAATCAGGAATTTCAGGTTCGGAAATATCACCTTTGCTAAAAGGTCATACTAAAATAAACATTTTGACAACATTAGTTTGTTTACACACATCTTTAACTGAACAAAAAACGTAAACTTTAGTAACAATATTTATTTATAAATTAAATACTTTTTACATTTAATTATGCTCGGTTATAAATGTTTTAATTATACTAAAAATATTTCATCTAGCATTACGTAACTTTTAGCGAAGAAAGTGGTCATCTGAAAATACGCACAGTCAACTCTAATTCTCTTTTATTTTATGGTAACAATACCAACAACTACTCCTTGAATTTTCATTGATAAGTATTTAATAAAAATACATAATTAATAGACTTTTTTGTGTCAAATACACCCAGCACGTGTAAATAATTGAAGTTTATAGAAAATAATTTCACGGTAATTTGAGTAGCATGTAAAATTATTTTTGATTAATTGATTATATATGTAGATAGAGTTTTTTTTGACTCATAAGTTTTTTAAATAATATATTTTTACATATTCTTAATAGCCTCTTTCTAGGCTTTATAGCCACAGTTTATTTTTGAAATTCCGATGCGACGTTGCCACGTTATTCCAATTTTTGAATTATTTGATTTTTTTTAGACATGGCAAGGGTTCACAAAAAAATTACAGCAGTGTTAATTTTAAGATCTGTTTTGCTATTTTTTATGGAGAGACGAACAAAGATAAGCGCTTTTGTGGTTTGTATCAATTAAATCAAATTTTAATATACACAGTGTTTATAAAAACTCTAAGAGGTTAAAATTTTCAAATATCGATATTTAAGTTTTCTCAAAGAGTAAACTAAAAAATCGCAGTAGCTATTAACTTTAAATATAAAAAATACTTAACAGAAAAGAAAGAGAACAAAAAATGTAGTAAGATGCAATAGCATACAGCGTGTTCCTTTAAAAAAATGAAATATAGGTACATATTTGAAAATCGTATTAATATTTTTTTTATAACCATATATTAAGAATTAATTTTATGACTATCATAATATAGAGGAACGCGTGCTTGGTAATTCACCTTGTACGTGTACATATATAACATAAAATATACCGGGTGTCTGGAAAATGGCGGATTAACTCTTCAGTACGTTATGTACGGGAGTTTCGAGAGTCCCAAAAAAAATTAAATCCTTTGATGTAAATTTCAAAAAAATATAAGCAACTAAACATAACATAATTTTTTTTTTGTAATAGTTAGTCATCAGTACTTGCTAAGATAAAACTGATACCTTCTAAGAAAAGAGAGGGTGGGTGGGCGGTACTAGTATCTGCCAAGATAAGATTGATTTTGCCAAATGAGATACCGTTTAAGAAACGAGAGGGCGGGTGGGCGGGGCTAGTAGCTGTTATTATAAGACTGATTTTGGCAAATAACATACCCTCTGAGAAAAGGGAGGGTGGGTGGGCGGGGCTAGTAGCTGCTAAGATAAGACTGATTTAGACAAATAACATACCCTTTAAGAAAAGAGAGGGTGGGTGGGCGGGGCTAGTATCGGCCAAGATAAGAATGATTTTGGCAAATGAGATACCCTCTAGGAAAGAAGAGGGCGGGTGGGCGGGGATAGTAGCTGTTATTATAAGACTGATTTTGGCAGATAACATACCCTCTGAGAAAAGAGAGGGTGGGTGGGCGGGGCTAGTGGCTGCTAAGATAAGACTGATTTTGGCAAATAACATATCCTTTAATAAAAGAGAGGGCGGGTGGACGGAGCTAGTACCTGCTAAAGTAAGACCGATTTTAGCAAATGACGTATCCCCCAAGAAATTTAATTAAATTTTTATAAAAAAAGGCACTAGAGGCTCCAAAGCACTTTCAAATTCTTTCCAAACAGGAGTACCTAGAACCTCAAGATTGTAACTCAAAAATAGATCAGGTCACTAAAACACCAAAGTCCCCCAAAATTGTTTTAAATAATTTACAAAAAAATTTCTATGGGCTCCCAAAATAATATACCATAAGTTCCCAAGAGTCTCCTCAATTAAAAAAAAACACTGCGGCACTCGAGACTTTTTCAAATTCATAAAAAATAAAACACTAAAAGCTCAAAAGATTTTGTTCAAGTTCATCCAGCAACAAAACACCAGATTTCTTTAAATTTATCCGAAAATAAAACACAGGGAGACCTAAAATTAACTGCGAACATTTTAAACGTAGGGTTTTGAAAACTTTGACAATTTTTGATACGTCAAACATTTTTAACTGCTTACTCGATTTTTGCTGATTTGTACCTTCGCTTTATAGCAAGCAAATATTGTTGTCAGATGGAATTTTATCGAATTGTTACAAAAATAACACAACCATATCCTTGTAGAATGTGTTGTTTAGTTGTTAAACGTAGCAAAAGAACCAATTTTAAAATCATTATAACTCCATCAAAATGTGAGAAGGTATTGTTTTACTATTTTTCCCAGGCTCACCAGTTGATTGTTAAGAGCGTAGGGGAGAGTTAATACGCCATTTTCCAGCCACCCGGTATATTTTATTTTTGAAATTCCGAAGCGACGTTGCCATGTTATTCTAGTTTTCTTGAAATATTTAAAAACCTTCACAAAACTGTAAAAATAAAATTGTTTTTGAACGAAGATATGCGCTTTGCTCAAGTACCAATAAAATTGGGCCCTAGTATACAACATATATAGGTGTACTAGATAAAACTCTGCAGTTTATATTATGAAAATGGATAAAAATATTGAAATCATGAAAACAATGTTGTTTTTAGTTTGAAGTGCCACCGTACTTACAATGTACTAAATTAAGTTCCCCCTTCAAGTTAAAAATAATGGCATTTACAGAATTTTAATATTTCCATCCGTTTTCAAGATACTCGTATAACTCGACGGATTTTTTTCTGGGATATAAAAAATTCTAAAATGTTACAAATTTCAAAAATTTATATCTAATTTTTTCTCCCTTAACAGTGCATAGGATTATTATATTATCAGGACCAGACTTTGCACATTTTACATAATCTGACCGATTTTTAAATAATTATAATAAAATAATTAAAACAATTAATCGTATCATTTCGTCACAAAAAGGAATAACTGAATAAAAGTTCGGGTTCTTATGACTAGTTTTGGTGTTACTTTTAACTAATTTAAATAAAGCTATACAACTCAAACTAGATATATCGCACCTGTATCAAAAAAAAATGTTGTTTATTGTTAAGCAAATCTACCTACGGGGCATTCTTAAATATGCAGACAGTGAGGGGTAATGATTGTGCATTTAATTTTTTATCAACTTGTTTCTGATCACTATCAGACCATTTATCTCTAATTAATATTTATATTTTCAGAAAAGTGCGCACGAATCGGTGCTCAGGAGACTGCGGTTGCGAGCAAAAGTACAAATGGCACCGACTACTGGCCTACGACCCGGATAACGACTGCAAAGGCATCTTCATGGATTGGTTCCTATTTCCCTCGTGTTGCGTCTGTCGATGCAACCCAACCTAAGTAGAAGAAATTCGAAATCGAACCGCAACAAACCAACACCCCACTCTGACTCGGCTCTATCTAAATTCGTTTCTGCGAGTGAAAAAAGGCAGAAACTTATAATACTCAATGTGCCAAATTGATATTACGATCCACATCTAATTAACTCATTTATAATAATTATAAATAATTAATAAAGCAACAAAAAACAAAGAAAATGTGCAATCTCAAAGCATGACTGATTACGTTAATAAATCGAATATTTTGTATTTTTGTATGTAAAATTGACGCGAACGTTACCAGTCAGTCTTGTTTTTGTTTTTACGAGCTATTATAGTTACCATTGTAGGTGTAATTTTCTACGAAATATAATCTTTATTTATAATGTAAATCAATGTAAAAACATTTGATTAATTACTCGAATGAATGTAGTAGATGGCTGCCATTTTCTATAGCATTATTATTAATAAATTATTTGTAAAATACACGATCACTGTCACTTACTGGTTTTTTTGTGCCACTTCCTGCCTGTCCAGTTCCACCCAGCAGTGCCCACATTCAAACCACTTGTCATAAATTGTAAACACCACAAAAAATTCACACCACAAATAACTCAGCAGTCAGATAATGATTTATATAAAATTATTATCAAAGTAAAATATTACGTAACACGTGGTTTTGTTTTTTCTTTATTTTTATTTTTTTTTTTTTGTTCGGTAAGAATAAATTCGAAAGGACGCTAGTTAATTCGTGTGCTTATATTGCCCACCCTGGCTGTCAAAGTCCGCAGTGCTGTCACTGTTTATTGACAGGAACGTCAAATCTAATTCGATTTTGTTTACATGTGAAATTATATCAGTATTATGGCTTAAAACGGCCCTTTCGGTACAACTAATGTGAAAAAGGCAACTTTATAATGCCGAAGCGCTCAAACTAATTTTAAGAATGCCTTCTAACCTTCATTACTTGTGGATTTTTGTCATAATATGGCAACCTACTTTGTGTTTTTATAACTTGTGTCAAAGCTCTCAGGTAAGTGTTGCGCTTATGTAGTGCACAGTGTACACAGTTCGCTTGTAGAACAAGGTTTTGAACCATGAAGAGTGCACGGATTTATACTTTGAACCCAGTGAGAAAGCAACCAGCTTAGGACGTGTGGGACTGGAACTGGAACAAAACTCTCTTAAAATAACCCCTGAGGCGTCTTCATGGACTAGTATTTTCAGGTGCTGTTAGCGTACAAATAAAAACAATGACTTGTTTTGTGTTGTAGATACATTTTTAAAAATATCCACACGTGACAACTCAACTAACCAGTTTTGTAGTACGCTAGTGAAAGAAGGAAGCTCAAATTTTTATTGTTTTACGTTTATGCCTGAAGTAGAAAATGAGACGCTCCTTATTGAGTACAAAGTTGAAAATCTTCCAGAGATTAGTTCAAGGAGATTCATTTTTTCTTTCCCAAACTGGAAAGAAATGCCGCTGTTCCTATACATTGATCAAACAGATCTGTCTCGATTAGTTTTAAGGGCCCAAAAATTGCCAAGTTTTATTAATATATCGTCCTACAAAGTAGAGGCCTATAAGGAAAAAAACGGTAACACCAATTTACAAGATTCAAAGCTTTTTTCCAGTAGTGATGACATTCACTATGAACTTTTTACATATAATGATGTAGGGAAATATTATTTTACTGTATCTGTACTAGGTAATAATTGTACGAATAGCGTTTGCATGAAGATGTCAACCCCCAAAGTTTCCATAGGTAAAGTCGTGATAAATTCAAAAATTAAAAAAGTTACCCTATTCGTTGCAGGACGTAAAGGTACTCGTGTAGTAATTGGTATAGTAGGAGCAAGTTTCATTCTTCCATTCATATTATTTATCTTCCATATTCTAACAAAGAAATATCCTGAAGAAAGTGCTTCAAAATCTGAAGAACGCCTGGTCGTCGCTTACAGATCTTCCTCGAAGAAGCACAACGAAGTGGTTCTTACATTTGCAGCATTACTGGAACAAATGGGCAGCAATCTCGTCGTAGACGTGATCGATTTAGCAAAAACCACAAAAAAATTCCCACAAAAATTCTGCATCGATTCTCTCATTATCGCTAACCGCATCATCTACGTGGCGCCACCTAAGCACGACTTGAACCCCATTCTCATTGATAAGTCGTTGTCGGACAAAGAATTCTTCGCCGTAATTTTTGACTATTGTGCCAACCGGTTACCCCAGTTTGTGGATACTAGCAAAACCTTTAAACTGTTTGAAGATTTTGAAAATTTTATGCATGCGCTAAACATATCTGGATCATATGACGCCGCTATATATCATGACTTGGTACGGAAGACTGAAGAAGCAAAAATTGAGACTGACCATTCCTTTAAAGATACCATACCGCAAATCGTTATCACGGATTCTGAACCTCAAGAACACGATTCACTGATTTCAGAGAACGTTATTTTGTAAGGAAGACTGAGTGTTTTGTGGATATACCTATATGTTTAGTACAAAAATTTGGACTTTGTGTCACTTTTGTATTTTATCTGTAATAACAACCAATAAAAGTATGGAAAGACGTGAAATTGGCTGATTTTATGTCGTTTTGAAAATTTCTGTCGACAAGTTTCAGCAACTGCGCTGTCGTTATTTCTATCTGAATTCAAATTCACGTGTTTTAAGTTACAGTAGAATTGATGAATGACACAATAAAAAGAAAATGTTAAAAAAAACACCGAATTTAAAATTAATGCAAAATTCTAACCTTTAGGCTTCTTCTTCTGCTACAATTTAGCGAATCCCCTCATCTTCATTTACGAACCCACTGCAACAAGAAACACGTGAAATATTTGTGTACACAAAGAAAAATACCATTGAAGTTAGCATCAACTTTAATACTACTAATTTTTAAGAATGGTGAAATTCAACATGACAGGTTTAATAAGTCCATAAGATTTAAAAAATACTAAACAGAAAAAGTTTTGAAACCACAATATAAGTTCTAAGCAAAATTTGACGTTTACATTACGCGATTCTCGGTGGAGATGAACAGAAAAAAATATATATAATAGACTCAAAATACACCTCAAAGTAAGTATCTGACGAGAAATTAGCTTTTGAGTTCTTGTTGAAACTAACCTGTTTGTTAAGTCGTTAAGTAACGATTTACACAATATACAGCTCCTTCTCCCTTAACGTACGTATTTTTATTTCAATTTAGAATGAAAGAGCTGAAGAAATAAGGCACAATACATTAAATAACTCACTTACCCTTTAAATCCCGATTTCCTTTCCTTCTGCGCTGATCCTTGCAGACTCCTTCCTCATGGGCACATCACAACACTCACTATTCACTTTAAGCCCGAAACCAAATTATTTTAATAAAATTAAACCACTTTAAACAAACTAATTTACACACCGCACTGCAACTCAAAACCGATGGAACTCGAACTGTGCGTAATACGAAAATGAACAAAAAATTCTCGCCGCTACCTTACTACTTATCAGCCCTTTTTTACAGAGTTTTTTTTCCATCGATGCATCGCACGGTACATAAATCATAATTAAAATACTGCAACATTATTCATTAGCAGAACATAATTTTCACGTTGTGTGGATGAATAAGAAATTACGAATATTGCATACAATTCGCCAAAAACAATTTAGAAAACTCGATTTAATACATCTTTTTTATTTTTCGACAGTTAATGAGACAATACGGAATTCAAATTTTTTCTTACCATTTCTGCCAAAATACTCATGTAAAATAAGTTCATACGGGCTGTTCCAACGGTCAAAGGGCGGAAAATTAAACATTCGCTGTAGACTGTAGAAAAAATTCTTCAACGCAATTTAATAGAGCTATTTTTTTATATAATAAATAAATGAATAATTAAAAATTAAAAAAAAAAATAGAGCTATAAAAAATTTAAAAGTATTTTCAAACATATTTAGCTTATACAACAAAGCTGTATGTTTATTTTCGGAGCGTCAATTAGAACAGTACCTATCTATTGTAATATTTGGCTCCTTTCATGTTTTGTCGACGTTTCATAATCATAACCCCCAGAAAATAAAAAAATTGATTGTTTTTGGAATCTCCAAAAATCTGATCTAGAATTCGCCAACTTTAATCCAATAAGATTCTAAGTGGACTTCCTAACTGACCTAGCTTCCATAAATGTTTACTTTCAAATGACTCAAATCCTTAATGAATGGTTTAGACTCGCAATGGACCTACACTAGATTTTACGAACGATAGGGTCCGTTGGCAACGAAAGTGTTACAGTGGCACACGGAGGTAGAAGAAAAATTGGAAATTCGAAAATTTAGAAAATCGGAAAATCGAAAAATTGAAATAAAGAACAACTGAAAACTCCAGAAATCGAAAAACTTGGAATGTTAAAAATTGAAAAAGTAAAACATCGAAAAGTTGAAAAATTAGAAATCGAAGGATAAAACAGTCGAAAAATTGAAAAATCCAAAGTTCAACGAAAAATTCAAAATCCAAAATGTAAAAAATCGAGAAATCAAAAAATCGAAATATTGAAAAAATCCAAAATTGAAAGCAATGTCCAAAAAATTGAGAAATTAAAAAATTGAGACATCGAAAAACTAAAGAAGCAAAGTCGAAAAATCGTAGGCTTAAAAATCAAAAACCTGAAAAATCAAAAAAACTGAAGAATTCAAAAAATCGTACAATTGAAGAGGACAAAAATTGAGAAATTTTTGAGAAATATCAAGATTCGGATATTTCGATGTTTTATTCAATCTATCGATTTATAACGAAAAATTCAAAATCCAAGAAATACAACATCGATAAATCAAAAAATCGAAATATTGATAAATCCTAAAATTGAAAGGAATATCCAAAAAATTGAGAAATTAAAAAATTGGAATATTGAGACATCGAAAAACTAAAGAAGCAAAGTCGAAAAATCGTAAGCAAAAAAATCCAAAAATCAAAAACCTGAAAAATAAAAAAATTGAAGAATTCAAAAAATCGGAACCTTGGGAAGTCGGAAAACGGAAAAATAAAAAGGAGATTAGTTCAGAAATTGGAAAATTGAAAATTCAGAAACGTCAAAATCTGAAAAACTGAAAAATCGAAATATGTAAAAATCGTAAAATTGAAGAGGACAAAAATTGAGAAATTTTTGAGGAATATCGAGATTCGGATGTTTCGATGTTTTATTCAATTTTTCCATTTTTAACTTTTCGATTTTTCGAGTTTGCCCTATCGAAAAATTGGAAAATCGAAAAATTAAAAAATAAATTGGAAAGTCGAAAATTTAAAAATTTCGAAAATTGAAAAATTGAAACATAGAAGAACCGAAAATTCAAGAAATCGAAAAACCTAAAGTTTTCAAAATTGGAAAGTAAAAATATCGAAAAATTGGGACATCGAAGTATAACACTGAAAAATAGAAACCTTGGGAAGTCGAGAAATGGGAAAATCAAAAAATAGATTAAATGAGAAATCGGAAAACTGAAAATTTAGAAACGTCAAAATTTGAAAAATTAAAAAATATCGAAGAACTGAAAAATCGAAAAATGAAAAATGTAAAATTTAAAACACTGAACAATTAGAATATCGCAAAATCCAAACATCAAAAAATCAAAAAATAAAAAAAAACAGGAAAATATAAAATTCAAAAAACTGAAAAATCGACAAGTCGAGAATTTAGAAAGGTGAAAAATTGGAAAATCGGCTAACTGAAAAATCGAAAAATCGAAGAATTTAAAAAAAAGAAAAATTGAAAATTCGAAAATTTAAAAAAATCGGAAAATCGAAAAATTAAAATAAAGAACAACTGAAAACTCGAGAAATCGAAAAACTTGGAATGTTAAAAATCGAAAAATTAAAACATCGAAAAGACGAAAACTTGAGAAATCGAAGTATAAAACAGTCGAAAAATTGAAAAATCTAGTACTTGCTAAGATAAGACTGATTTTGGCAAATGTCATATACTCTAAGAAAATAGAAATCGAAAAACCGAAAATCAAAACATGGAAAAATTCAAAATCTGAAACATCGAGATCTCGAAAAACCGAGGAATCATGGAAAATAAATCACCACCAAAATTGTGACTAAAAATATGTAAAAATTAATACAAAATAGAAAACATTAGCAGTGGCGCTAAACCGGGTACTAACTACCTGCCCTTTCGGTAATGTTCCGGTTCTTCCCAAATTTTATTACTTTGTTTGTTCTACCAGAATAAAAAGAACTTTTGTTTTCTAACTACAAAAAGTAAAATAACGCATTTTCAAAAATACGTTCCCGTATTTACTGCATGCGTTCATGTCCAACCCGTTTTACCTCTAATTTAATGACAAGCAACCAAATTGACGGAGTTATTGATCTAATTCGAAGTGGTGGTTAACATTTTGGAATTTTTCAATCTCGTTTTGTGACCTGATGCACCTTTTTCCAGCAAGTAAAAATCAATTATTAACGTGAAAAATGTGCTATTCTGTCTACTGTGGCTACAACACTGATGAAAGAAAAAAAACGAAAAATAAACAGCAATCGATATGGCTTCCCTCTAATTTAATTTGAACTAAAAAAAAATATTTTTTTATAGAACCGTTGGTAACTTGGTAGATCTTTGTCGTTAAAAGCTTTTCTCAGACAACACATGCAAAAAAAAGAAAATAAAGGCAATTTTTGGTCAATTAATAGTTAAACTCATTAGCATGACAAGAAAAATGAACTAAACGAACTAAAACAAATAACAAAAGGACTCTACACCGAAGCTACTTGCAATAACATTGAAACATTGATGTATTTCGTTTAAATCTCCTTAGTTATCTGAAAATTTCTAGAACATATACTTGTCGATACCGTGTTTTTGCTCAACATGAAAAAAAAAATTACAACAAACAAACAAAAATTATATCTTAGCTTCACGCTCTTTGTCTAAATTATTTCTACTTTCACGATTTGGTTAAACTGTGTCACATTCAACTTTGTTTAGGGCACTCTCATGCAACTCCCAAATTTTAATTTAAGAACTGCTCTATGCACTTCTAAGGTTTACTTAAGTGATGCCATATTAAAAATTCTCTTTATACAATTTTATGCACATTTAAAGTATACTTAAAGCAATCTGGAACAAGAAAAAAAATTATACAATAATCTCACGCACATTTAAAGTTTACTTAAAGCAATCTGGAGCAAGAAAAAAAAAAGATTTTATTTAAGCAATCCCACAATCAAAGTTTGTTTGAGCAGTTTTCAATATGGTAATTTGTTTAAACTATCCCACTTCTGACACCATTTAATTTGTAACCCGTTCTAGCCAGACCGGTGTGGGTCCCAACAATATTGATATGTGTATAAACAACAGGGGCGGCTGATGCCAGGGGGCACAAGGGCACGTCTTATTTTATCAGCTACTAGCCCCGCCCACCCACCCTTTCTTTTCTTACAGGATATGTCATTTGCTAAAATCGGTCTTATTTTAGCAGCTACTAACCCCGCCCACCCACCATTGCTTTTCTTATAGAGTATGTCATTTGCCAAAGTCAGTTTTATCTTAGCAGATACTAGCCCCGCCCACCCGCCCTCGCTTTTCTTAGAGGGTATTTCATTTGCCAAAATCAGTCTTATCTTGTCAGCTACTAGCCCCACCCACCCACCCTCTCTTTTCTTAGATGGTATGTCATTGGCCAAAATCAGTTTTATCTTAGCAGCTACTAGCAACAACAGCTCAATAAATCCTGCTTTTTTGAAAAAATCAAATAAATAATTCTGTGATAACCTCTATACATTAAAACAAATATAGATATGTACGTAATAGTAGTAACAGTGTAAGAAGCTAAATGATATCCTATAAATGTGTTTTGACAACTATTATTTTGTTTGTATTTGTCTACGATATCCAACTTTCTTTTTAATGCTACTACATATTTTTTTAAATTCTTGGAGTTTTCACAATTCATTAATGTATCATACTTGAATCATCCATATTTCGCACACTTGTTTATATTGGGTCTAGAGTACACGTGCCCATCACTTGTCCTTAAAAAAAACGAATTAACAATTGCTCCAAAAATACGAACGCACTGATAAAGGGCAAGGTTATGCCTATATTTTTTGCGAGTTTTCCCATTTGAAAATGTTCCGAACAACATTATTTCAGCAGGAGCACGTATGTTAATTTCAACACGTACAGTGAAATACCAGTAATAAAACATGGGGTGTAGCGTTCTTGAGATTTGATCAATAAAAAATGTAATTTAAATCCTACTTAGGTAGGGACGAATAGGCAAATCTTAGTTAGCGTTTTACCATCTACGTGATATTCCATATGTCCTTATACAAATTTGACAACAATCGCTGCGGTGGTGTCAGAGTTTATCTGTCCAATAAAAATCGGAACAGACGGCAAACGACAGACGGGAACGGGAGGCCTATTTTTTCGTAGGGGTTATGAAACGTCGAGAAAACATGATAATAGCAGTCGTCCGATGAACTCGATTACAATACTTCCACACACAAAATGTGCGTTAGCCTTTGCGTTTAACAAGTAAGACATCAACCTCAAAATTTTGAATATATATTTGTTTATATATTGTATGTTACATTTTTACATTTATATATATTTTATGCTGCAGTTGCCACCATCGAATTATTAATATATTCATTAGAGATGTACCGACCGGGTTTAATTGTTTTATATACTATTTTAATTTTAATAAAAAAAGTCGACCGATCGGCTGTTTAGCCGACCAGTCGCCGACTGCCAGCCGACGATGAAAAACGGCCGAATAGTCGGCTTATCCGACCGGTCGGCCACTAGTCGGTACATCCCTAATATTCATTAAAGAAATTTATAAAAAGTTAATTTATTTGATTATTTGTATATTATGAACTCACATCGTTACATCACGGATCTGAAAACGATAACTAAAATAAAATAAATTAAAACAAAAAAGAAAAACGTGTCGTGTTTTAAAACAAAAAAACTTGTTTTAAACCAATTAAAACAAAAAACTGTTCTAAACCAGTTAAAACAACCATTTTTTTATTCACTAACATATCTAGACCCAACCACATAAACACACAAAACAAAGCACATATTTAGGTATGGTAAAAATCAAAATAATTCGGGAATAAATGTTCAAATTCAAGCTATCAGTAAATAATTCCGATGTAATAAAATAACACATTATTACAAGGCAAGACAAACATAAATTACACCTCCATTGCTAGTAATTCTATTCCATGATGACATTACTGTAACTGATAATGAATTCCAAGGTCCTTTCTTCTAAAATGGATCGACATTTAAATGCCATCAATCTGGAGTGAGAAGTTCTGGAGTGAGTGTTGCAATAATTTTTCAAAACATCCAATATTTTATAAACGTCGTTATTTAAAAAATAAAGTCTGAATAATTAATAGGAGTAATAAATAATATTATAAATAAATTATATTAAAACCATGAACAGTTAAAAATCTTAATATAAATTCGTCAAAGTTTCTAAACATTTCAAATTGAAAAATCGCTAACAAACTGATTTTTGGTCGTTGGGGGAGGGGACTATGGCGTCGAATGCGATTTCACTTTGTTTAAACACTTACCTTTTATAAAATTAACCTCGCAGACGAGGCAGCCAGCTAGACTACCTGATGCACGGCGGCAAAAATTAGATATTGCTGATAAACATTCACATGAACAATGATAAGGATAGAAAAGGTCTCAATTTGAGTGTGTCGTTCGTGGCGTTGGTTTATCTCGATTAAAGCCAAAGTTTTCTGAATTTTGACTGTGATCAAATACATTGAGTATTATAATTACAAGAATGGGAACAAATAAAATTTAATTATACACACTCTCATTAAGAATTTCAAACTACAAAGAGACGCTGTATATTTTTATTATTCATAGTTTTTAAATGACGTCATCGACTTTTGAAAGAGGATGAACAAATAAATTAAATCGTTAAACCGATAACCAAAATTTTACGGTACTATTTCATTTTTAATTTTTAACTTGGTGTTGCACTTAAGGGTAAAAACAGAAAGGACATTACGGAAGGAGAAAACTTACAAACCCAAGGTAACTAAAAAATTCCCATTTTTAAAATATTTTAATGTGCATAAAAACAAAGTATTCTTAAAAAATACTACCCTAAGTTTGGACTTAATCTAGATCAAATTCTCACTTGATACCTGAATAGGCAAGGCACGCGATTGTCATTCAGATAAAACAATGACTAGAATTGATTAACCAAACACAACCAATCATTTGAAGGTATCCAAGCCTAATCTGTCCTGTATCTGATTGAACCTCTCAATATACTTAGACAACATACCTGGACTGGTCAAAGCGGAGTCACCTAACACCCTAAAATCAACAAACCCTTAATATTCATCTCTAACACACACAAAAAAATACCCACCTATTTGTACTCCCTCCAGGTCTCCCTACCTCCTGCCGTCTTTGATAACCCGACGGTTCCAACTTTTTCTTCCCCAAAAGGTCAACTTTCGCCACGTCTTGACTAATTTTCGTCGAACTTGCTTTCGGCTGCGAACTAAAAACCCTAAGGGCGGACGGTTCTTTAGATGGCGGCGAGCTCCCGAACCAAGGCATATCGGTTTTCGGTTGATTTAAGGCACTTTTCGTTGATTTATTTACATTCGAGGTAAAATTCTGACTAGACACGGGTTGGCCCACTTGGAATTGTACTTGCTGGTTCTGCGCTATTCGTTGCTCGGATATTCGCTTGCCTGAATGCCACCGTCTCACCAGGTACTTCATGCGGCAAACGGACACCACCATCACGGCTACACACCTTGAAAAAAAAAATAATAACAATAATAATAATAATACAAAAGTGACCTATTTCGTTTCACGTACTTAAATCGATTTTGTACAGGCCTTCGTTTCGCCCTTTTCCTGTCTAAATTCTCGGAGCCCGGTATTCTATGGAGGGGCTCGTTTTGGTATGTTTCTAGTAAGGAAATCAGGTACCGCTTCTGCCAAGCTAACGCTTTTCTGTAGCTCTCTGAGCGTAAATATTTGGCGAATAAGAAGTTGGCTCTTGATACTGGATCATCAAACGGAAGATTGTTAGTTTTGCGGTCTTCTAGAATGGCTATTCGGTCTTCAAGTACGCCGTTTTCGTATCTTAGTCTTTCTATCACACCCATCATTAATCTGTCGTTTTTGACGATGTCGTTTAGTTCGTGAATTTTTGCCATAAGTTGATCTGACACGGAGTCAGGGGATTTTAGTTTTTGTTCTAATTGTTTTATTAGTTTCTTATGTTCCAGCTGCATGTCCTCCTATAACAACGTAGCAATGCAAGTTGTATGATTAATTTCAATCAAGACTTACCATTAATTTTTTGTTCCTTGCTGCTTCGTTTGTCTTCAGTTCCAATTCCGCTTTGGTTCTGTCTAATCTATCTTTCAATATCTGCTCGCTGTAAGTTACTTCTGATAATTTACTTTCGAGCTTGGTGATATCTTCAAGTTTTGTCGTAATTTCAACTCTAGTGGTATCTTGAAGGCGTCCAACTTGAAGTCTCAAATCTGAGTTCTCATCTTCCAGCGTAGAAATAATTTTAGATAGACCTCTATACTCATGGTCTATCTCTGGTAGAGAGTTAGTCTTTGAATTCAACATAGAAACTTTCTGTTTCATCGACTTCAACTGACTTTGAAGCTCAACCCTGTCGCTCTTTTGTGATCTTAAAATTCTATCAAATTCAACTTCATTCTGTAACGCTTGCTCGAGTTTTGTCCTCAACTCCCCAATCAACATAGCATCTTCGTACTGAACCTTATCTAACTCTTTCTTCACGTTTTCATACTTATGTTCCAACTCGTCGCACCTCTTTTCCACTAATTCCTTATTTTTAACTAGCTGTTTATTAACAGATTTCTGTTTCTTCAACGATAATCGCAAAGCTTCCAAATCTTCACTTTCCATTGAGCCGTCGCTAACAGCATTGATTAGAGTAGAATCTAAGTAAGCTGAGTAATTCAGCTCCCTTTGCACTTGATCAGTTATATCTTCAATGGATTTCTTCTCAATTCCCAAAAGCTGTGCCTTCAATTCATGCAACTCGTCATAGAGAGTAGAATTCCTTTTCTGTTCTTCCCGTAAGCGTCTTCCTAAGTCAACCACATTACCAGTCTCTTGTAACTTATTTTGAATAGTTTCCAAATTGACATGAAGACTTTTACTATCTACTTCCATCTGATCAATAATCTTGTCCTTCTCAGCAAGAAGATGTTGCACGTGGTTCAACTCCTTACTCACATCTTCATTCTGTTTCTTCAATTTAGCCACCTCTGCGTCCTTCTGTTTCACAGTTTTGTCAACACCGTCGTTCCGTATCTTCAAAGACGCAACATCGTCTTGAAGCTTCTTCAATTCTTCATTTTGTAGTTTAAGAGTTTCTTCGTGACTCTTCAGCTCGCTCTCTTTAACTTTCAAGGTAGTTTTCAATTCAGATTTAAGTTTTTGGAGAGATTTCAACTCTTTTTCTCTCTCCAAAGCACGACTTTTTTCGTCTTCCAGTTCTGCCTGACATGCTCTCAACTCTTCCTCTCTTTCGGTCAATTTGCAGCGCTGAGACGCTAATTCCAACCGTATATCTTTCATTCGTTCTTCATTCTCCTTCTGTTCTTCGTGGAAGGTTTCAGTGGCTTTCTTCAAACTGGCTTCGGTTTCTTCCAAAGTGATTTGCAACTGTTCTACGTTTGCTTGAAGATCTTGAAGTTTTTCGAGACGAGCTTTGTAGTCTTGAATTAATTGGTCTTTTTCGGCGATAACGTTCTGAAGATCGACGACTTTAGTGGCTTCTACTTCATCTTCGAACCGAACGTGTTTCGCTGTGGAGTTGGCTTTGGCCTGAGGTACTTGTAGCGAATAGAAGAGATTCGAAGAAGCGACTTTCTCGATGGTGGAAATTTCAGGCTGGCTCTCTAGGAACGCTGTCTTGTCGTTACGTTTCAAGGGAACGATTGGAGACAGCTGAAGACTTTCGCTCGAAATTTTCTCTTTTCTACCGTGCTCTAAATTTTCTAAATCGATTATATCATGGAACGATATACCCGACAATCGCAATTTATCCAACGACTCAATTTCCTTTTTATCCAAATTGAGCGAACTAAACAGTTCCAGCTGTCTTTCAGTCTCCTCCAACTTCTCCCTCAATTTCTCAATATCGCTATTTTTATCCGAAATTATATTCTCCACCAAATTCGGCAACATCTGCGCCTCTTTGTCGATTTTCGATTTGAGTTTCAGGTTTTCGGAACGCAGAAGCTCCAACTGCTCTTGCATTTGGACTACCATGTCGTCTTCTTTGTTGGCGGCTAGTTCGTTTTCGCGGTCTTCCAGGCGTTTTTTGGTCTCTTCGATGCTGGTTTTTAGCTGTGATATCGTTTTGTCGCGTTTCGATATTTTTTCTTCTAGGGATGCGATGGTGTTCTTGAGATCGTAATTTTGTACTTCTAGGGAGGTATTGGTTTGTTTTTCTATGTGTTCCGCGCGGATTCTCTGTTCGTCGAGGCGGATCTGGAGGTTTGAGATTAGGACGAGGTGGTCGGAGGTTTGTTTTCGGAGGATTTCGCGTTCGTTTTGTGAATCCTGGAAAGAATGGTAATACGCATAACAAGATTGGTTTGGTATTACAAAATCTAGAATCTCAAAAAGTTTTTTTTGTAACTAATACAGGGATGTCTAAAGAAGTTAATTCCGACACAGTTGCAAGTCGATCAAGTAACATTTATTGTACTATTTTAGAGAATGATGTATGACATATAAGGTGTTTCATCTCAACTAGTTTATAAAATTACTCAATGAATAAATAAAATGTAATTTGTGTGTGTAAAATTTCAGAGAGATCGGTTAAATAAAATAGTAAAATTTTATTTCCAAAAATTCTCCATTCATATTATAAATGGGGATACACTAATAAATCATCATATTATTTTGCACATTTTAGGAGCTTAATATATCTTTATCCAATAAAATCGACAACAGACGGAAACGGAAGACCTACTTTTTCTTATTCTAGGAGCTATAAACGTAGAGAAAATAGCTTATGCACAGGAAATAAAAACAAACGTTGTTTTCTGTTAAAATTAGAAGTGCTAGGATTATTTTTATGATGGGTCCACGTTGATTTTATTTTGTACATTTTTATCGTTTAATTTGTTCTTTAAACAAAACGTAGTTCTGCATTTACATAATGTCAAAAAAGGAGAGAATATAACGAAGTGACGTGAGGCAAACTTGAAACACGAAAATCCAAACAGATGTAACAGATGACAGTGAATCCGCGCATATTTAAAAAATAGACGATGAAGTAATGACTAGAGGGTTTTTTTTAAACCCTTTTTAGGGGTAATACTGTAAAAACTTGTTAAGTTTAACGAGTCTTAAATTTCAAATTTCCATAGTAACGAGTTAAATTCGTAAATAGGTTTAATTCAGTATTGCCCCTTATATCGAAAAAAAGCTAGGTGACATTCTATCTAACAGACAAGGTGGTACGGAACGGACCAGTGTGATTCGCTGAATTTAGCGTCTATGTGCCAGTTCATTCTTAAAAAAAAACATGGTCTTCAATACAAAAAAAATATCTAACGTTATTTAAACTGACTTTCCCTCACTCCTATAGTATTCTACTATATGATGGAAAATACCACGTGAGTGTTAATGTGTGTGATTTTTTTGTGAGGTTGGCAACATATTTAGAATTTTATGATGGCACGCCTGACGTCGAATTCAAATTTTGGGCACCAATTCAGTAGCTGTCATCTTCTCAACGGGTTTTATGAGAACAACTGACAATAATTCAGAATTGCCAGCCCAAAAATTTGATTCAAACATTAATAGTCACCCGGTACAAATACAACACAAATCGCCTACTAGGCTATGAACTTTATTTTTTAAATAATGTTGGCATTGGAGTTGTTTGACATTTCAGTTGACAGTTATTTGACCCGAACTGTCAAACTGGATAAGGAACGTGTTGGTGTTGCCAGTAGCAATATTTTGGAAATAAATTTCATAGCCTACTAGAGAGCTTTTTTCGATCATAAGGTATTTTGATGAATCAGTTGAAATGAAACAGTTCGCATAGTTCGTAAGGGAAAATAAATACATATTAAACTGTTATAAATTCGGTTAAACCCATAAAATAAATCCTGTAAAATTATTACATAGAACTTCCAGTGCTTCTATGGTCAATGTTTTATTAAATAATATTAAATAATTTTTTGTGGAGCTTCATCAATTTTTTACTAAGAACAATGACATAAAAATAATGTTGGCATGCCCGTAACATTTTAACTTGTAAAATATGATTAGTTTTAAGGAAATTAGATGAAAATTTGCCAAAATATGTAAAATGTTCACACTCTACTTTTTTACTTCTCACTCTGAAGACAGATCTTATTAGGCTCGTAATCTCCAAAAATACTAGACCAATTATGTAACTGAGCAACAGTATTTTGACAAAAATTTCGAAAAAGTCTCTGTGTAATATTAAAAAAAAAACTGTATATTCTGCTAGGTTAACTTTGCTTTTTTACTTCTCGAGCGTAAGCGAAGAAAGTATTGTAATCGAGTCCGTCGGCCGACTCTCTACTTTTACGTTTTCTCGATCTTTCATGACCCCTACAGGACGAAGAAATAGGTCTCCCGTTTCCGTCTGTCTGTCTGTCCGTCTGTCCGGATTATTGTCAAATTTTGTATTTATATTAGGAATATCATGTAGATGGTAAAACGCTAACCAAAATTTCTCTAATCATCCCCATCACTAATGCGATGACGTCACTTCAAAATTGTACATAGCAAATGGGTTTTAAATTGTATAAAATAACAGTCCTAAACATGTAGTTTATGACTCCGAATAGAGTTTTTACCCGAAACGTCCAGATTTTTGGAAAAAAAATCAAAATTATAAAGCAACATTTTGCAATTTAATTTTGAATCTGCTAAACCGAATGCTTTGAAATCTTGCATATGTTTTAAGGTTATAAAAAGCATTATAAATTTTTAGTCAAAATAGATTTGCTTATCCCTACCAAAAAATTTATGACGTCAGCTCAAAAGTTTGCCGAATAAATCCTATCTAAAATGTACAAAACAAGATGAGTCTCTACTTATAATTTACCATTCCATTCATATTTTTTGGATTTGCATATACAGGGTGACTCAAAAAAAAATGAATGCGTAAATTTATTTTATTGTTTTAATCAGGAACTACAAAACCGAATGCTTTGAAATCTTGAAGATGTTTTAAAGTTATAATAAGCATGGTAAATTTTTTATCAAAATGTATTTGCTCAACCCCCTAAAAAATTGATGAGGTCACCCCAAAATTTTGCTGAATTAATCCTATCTAAAATGTGCAAAATATGATGAGTCTGTACTTGTGATTTATTATTCCACTAATATTTTTTGGATTTGCGTATACAGGATGACTAAAAAAAATTATCATTGTATTTCAGGAGCGAGGGAAGTTCTGTTGAAACAATTTTTGACCAATTTTTTTAAACAAGTATAAGCAAAGAAAAAAAATTAATTGGTGAAACGGGAAAACTGAAAAATAATTATTCGAAAGTGTATTAACTATTATTTTTCATGGGACCAGAATACATACACAGGATAAACATATTTAAGCTCCTACAACACAGAATCCAATCAACTCCTGAACAACCAATAGGTAATTATTGAGAGAATAAAGTTTTAACATAAATGATCAGATTTGGCACACACGTAAAGTGTTATAAATTAAGTATTATACTGCGTTATCCCTCTGGAGCATTGCATACAGATGCGTAGAAATCCTGGAAGAATTGGGCACCTACAAGATTTCCTTTCCCTATGGTGACTAGCGCTGAAGATTTCTTGGAGGAATTGTGTATATAGTAATACATGGAATAAGATGCTAAGGTTTTTTCGAATCCAAAATTTACAACAGCATCCATTAAACTCAGTAGTTAACTTTAAAATAAAGAAAATCTACAAGAAATGAAACCAAGAAAAGTTTTAATGAAGGTTCCAGTAAAACAGAAAACGTTACGAAATTAATATCGAAATATTTAAGACATATAATGATGAAAATTGGCGGCAACGTGGAAATTTGTGTTTGAAATATTTGACGACAGTAACACCATCTGTTGTGAATATGTAAAACTGAGAAAATAAGCGAAACTATCATTTCTTTATGTTTTTTAATCTCCTGAATTAAAAACATTGTCTTGATAAAAAAATTCACGTAAGTCTAGTTCCTAAGTAAAAAATGTTACCGTAACAACAAGATCTTTTTCTTTAGTTGTATTCGATATTTTTTGTGTATGTTGTGTATGCGTTATAACGGGTGATCAAAAAGTTTTCAGATTAGAGTTGGCCAAGAAAATATTTGTCATGTCTTTGATTAAACTATAAATTCATGCATAACCTTTTTTTTTTATTGACATGATAGGTTATGCATGACTTTTACAGTTTAATCAAAGACAAGACAAATATTTCCATGGCCAACTTTTATCACCCTTTACATATTGCGGTGGACTGATTTCAAAAATCAAATTTCGTACCGAAAAAAAAAACAACGCTGCGGAAACCGCAGTGAAAAAAAATTCTTTAATGACGTAGTCAATCATCCATGATTTACCGCGTTTTGTGAAATAACAAACAAAAACACACTTAGCTTGGTAATGACACTTTTGTAACGACAGGGAAAATTCTAAAAGATTACTCACTTCCTGTTTTTTTGACGTCACGCTGTGTGTTGTAGTGCTAGTGTAAACACGTGTTAAAAATTAGTTCGTGGAGTTTTGTTTATCATTTCACGAAAGGGGAATTATTTAAACAAAAATGAATCGCATCGACGCCACTGTCTCTACGAGTGTAGTTGGTGTAATCTCTACTCCATATTTTAAAACAGTTCTTTAGTGGTATTTAAAAAATTGGTCTAAAGTTATTTAGACAGAACGTCTCTCGTCCCTGATTTTTTGAAAAATTATAAAACTAAATTTTGGGAATTTTATTTTTTATGACAACCCCTGTAAGTTAAAATAAACATGTGTGGACTGTTAAAATACAGATAAAGAAGCATGTTGTGGGTATGTTTAAAGTGACTCCTATAACAAAATTTTGTATTGTCGCCATCAACATTTTATTAGCAAGGACACAGATATATTAATTTCAATAAATATAATGTTTCATCAATGAAATAAATTTCCTCATTCATTAATTTTTTGAGTCAGCTTTTATAAAAAATATTATGCACTAGGTAAACCACAAGTATTTAAATTCATTATACACACATACTTTGTATAAATATTTTAGATAGTTATTCAGCAAAATTTTAAGGTGACGTTATCAACTTTTTCGGAGGGGATAAACGGATAAATTTGATTAACCATTTATCATGCTTACGATATCCCTCAAAGAGTTTTGCAGTTTCAAAGCTACAAAACATTTTTTTCTCAAAAATTTGGACGTCTAGGTTAAAAACCGAACACGGATTCATAAATCATAAGTACAGGAGTATCTTATTAAGTAAAATTTAATTTAAATAGGTTTGATTTAAATACTGTTACGTGATCACTGAATCATTACTTAACATGACAATTGATTAACGTATTGCAAGTCTGTTTAATGAGTCGTCAGAGTCACACACTTTTAACTGAACCACGACCACATTTTTTTTTTTTTTTGAAAAACGGGTTTTATCCGCTTCAGATTAATATAAATGATGACCACACAGATAGTGACTTCATAAAAGCGTCAAAATTTTTTCTTTACTATTATATTTCTGTAAAGTAAAAAACAGTGTCTTAAATAACACTCCTGAAGCTTTTTTGACTTGAATTTTTCAATTCTTCGATTTTACGTTTTTTTTCAGTTTTTCGATTTGCAATTTTTCGAGTTTTTCAATTTAAATTTTTTATTTTTTCAATTTTCCAACTTTGAAATTTTTCAATTTTTAGATTTTGCAATATTTCGATTTAAGTTTCTCGAGTTTTCAATTTATAATTTTTCAGTTTTTCGTTTGTTTTTTATTTTCATTATTTTTGCAATTATTCGATGCTTCATTGTTTCGATTTTATAATTTTTTGTTGTTTACATTTTTTATTTCTTCAATTTTTTGTCTCTTCAATTTTTCGTTACGGTTTTTTATTTTCTTCATTTTTAAAAATTGTCGGTTTTTTATTGTCCTGATTTATAATTTTCCTTTTTTGAGTGTGAAAATTTTCAATTTTTGAATTTTTCGATTTGGAATTTTACGAATTTCATTTTGAATATGGAATAATAATTATAACCTTTTCATTTATTTAATTTTTCATTTTCTCCATCTTTCATAGTTACAGTTTTTCAACTCTACAATTTTGACGATTCCATTAGTTCTCGATGTTACAATTTTTGGGTTTTTCAATTTTTCTATTCGATTCGCTTTATCTTCTTACCAATTTTTCGATTCATTAACATTTTCGATTTTTTTTCTTAGAGGGTACATCAATTGCCAAAATCAGTCTTATCTTGGCAAATAATATAATAATAAATTAAATCAAATTTTGGTTAGGGTTTTGCTATCAACACAGTATTCCTAACATACATGTAAAATTTGACATCACTCTGGCAGTTTCATAGATTATTATCTATCTACTAAACATCGACACAGCCAGACGACAAACAGACGTAATCTAGGGGTAATGAAACGTCGAGAAAACATAATACATATATAAACCAAATTTATTTCACTGCTTTTCCCTCTCCAGGAAAGAGAACTAAACAATGTATCCTCCATATTTTGCATTTGTATCCATTCCACCAAACAAAAAAATATTGGTCGAAGGTTATTTCGACAGAATTTCTTCTTTGACAAATTATAAAATTTGATTCTGCGATTTTTGTTTTTTGATAACTTCTCAAAAGTGAAAACTAGTGACACAAATACCACCTCCGCAGCCCCTCAATATTATATTATATTCTCAATTTCTCAGTACATGTTTAACTTCTACCGTTTATGTTTATACTTCGAAATTATTCGACTATTAGCACGTTCAAATTAAAAGGATCAGCGGCGGCATTTGTGTTAAAATAAAATGATTTGATTGACTTTTTTTCTGCAGCGCAAAAAAAACTGGATGTCCAACGTAAAGATTCATAAATTTGTAAACATTTCAGCAAAATTGTAAGATAACGTTAACATTTCGAGGGCATAATCGGACAAATTTTGATTTACCAAGTTTTCCAAAACGATTTTGCAATTTTAAAATTAAATTGTAAATTGTAAATTTTATTATTATAATTAGCCTTCTTTCGAGTCAATTAATCGACTGCGCATCCACCACTCGGTGCTAAGCCACCGCGTAAAATCTGTTGGTTGTACTATCATTTGTATTATTAAAGGAAAGTTTAAAACTAAATATAAACGTTAATTACAATTATTTTAATACTTGTTTTTGCAGAAACAATGTTTTAAATTTGAAAACGGACATCTTAGATTAGTTGAAGAACTACTACAATGTTGTTTTTGTGCCAACTTTCCATCCCTTACTTTATGCATAACTAACATAAAACGTGACGGCCAAAAAATTTGCATTATTGCAAAAGCTCTTCACGCTTGGACTTACCTCAAGATCCCTCTTCAAAGCCAACAACTGCAACTCCAAATCCCTAATCCTCTTAACCGCCGCATCCTCAGCCCTCGAATGCCTCATCAACTTCTCCTTCAATCGCGCCAACTGCTGAAGAGGCACCTCGCACTCATCATACACCGACCTATCCTGATGCACGACATCCCGAATCGACATATCTTCGCTCGGCGAACTGCAACTCGTCGACACGGCCGAATGCAGCCCTTCCAGTTCCTTGGTCCGCTTATCAAGAGTGGTCTCGAACTCGCACAACTAAAACCAACAACCCAGTAAAAACACCCCCCGAAAAAATTCCATCAATTACGTGATTCTTAATCTGCTGCAGCGCCCCTTCGCTCCCCGCGATCTCGCTGCTCAGCCTCAGCTTCTGCACCTCGCTCTCGAGGCTTCCGACGTACTGATGAAGCTTCTCCACGTCCGAAACATCGCGCGACGGCTCGGTCGGGCGCGTCTCTTCGTCGTTGTTTTGGTGCTTTACTATGAGCTCCAATTCGTCGACGATGTTTCGTAACTCCTCCTCGGCGGTTGTTTTTGTTTTGACTTGGTCCTCGAGGTCGCGGATGATGTCTCGGAGTTCGTAAATCTTGTCGACGGCTTCCTTGTGCTCGTCTTCGACCTCTTTGCAGCGCCTTTCTGCGGCGTCAGTCAGTTTCGACATCTCGCGCAGCTGCTGTTCCAGGTGCTCGACCTGGAAGAGATATTCCGGTGATTATTTTCGGTGGACGCGAAACTAGACGCTCACATTTTAACAAACACGGACGGGATATGTTGCCAAACATTGAAATGGACGTAAAGACGGGAATAACTCGCGACGAAAATAAACACAGTCGTCTACCTTTCTCAGTTTTGTTCGTTGTGGTGTAGCGGGAAGAACTTCCTGTTTTTAATCGGGGAACGCCGGGAAACTTCCGAGCGTGTACAGGATAAATGAAAATTTTTATGTTGAATGGCATATCTCAGGCATATCCCCCTTTTCGTTGTTTCATTTACGAAACTCCCGAAACTCGGAACATTTGGCAAAAATATAGTTTTAAAGCAAACATATTTTTCTTTTTTTTTTGACATGACTTCCATCATTGAATAAAGAGTGAAATAATAAATACTAAGGGTCATAAGCTATTAAAAAAAATAGACGATCAAAGTTGAATGGCTTTTTGAAATGCATAACCTAAAATAAATTTCAACCACACAAATAAAGTGTTCTGTTTTTAAAGCACAACACACATAGATATTGGTTTTTTAAGTAGGTCACGCTGTAGATTCTTCCATATTTTATTTCTTAAATTACCGTACGACGTTGCCAAGCTACTCCACTTTCTTTGAAACTTTTTAACGATGCAAGTAACAATAAAATTGAGCTTTGGTCTACAAAGGGTTTATACTTAAAAGAAACTAACATCTTAGTTTCCTCACGTAGAACACTCTGTATCTGCATCTTGCTCTGTTTTTTTGGTCTAATTTTCATTCTTGTTAATATTAGTATCATATTAATACTATTAGATATTATTTTAACCCCGTTATGATTTTTTGTGGGCCTCTACATTGTTTAAAAATTTCAAAAAAATTGGAATACCGTGGTAAATTTACATTAAAAACAAAATATGCTAAAGCTCAAGACACCAATTAGGGCGATCTCCGACCCAAAAATACTCTACAAGTGTCCCATTTAAAATTCCGCAACTTTATATCTTGGAAACGAATTGAAATTCTGTAAACGCTGTTGTTTTTAGCTTGTTACTTTTCAAACCGCGATTACAATGATCTAAAACACTTGTGTTTATTTCATTTTCAGTCGATAAAAAATTGTCCTAAAATTATGAATATAAAAACAGTGAAGTTAACCATATGTTCTAACTGTCGTCCTTCACACTGAACACAAAGCTTCTAACTAGTTCGCGATTTGGGGCGGTTTATTAGAGTATCACGTGTTAAAGAGGCACAAAACATTCCTGATTCAATTTTTTAGTCTTCCAAATCACGCAAGGGTCGCAAATACGCCAATTTCTTATGTATCACCACAAAAATAAATCTAAGGGCCCTAAATATTTCCCACTTAATTTTCATAATAAATGTTCTATACAATTAAATAATTGCAAACATTTTCGAGGCAGCAAAGAAATATTTCTAATCGTAGATTCGAACACTCTACAGAATGAAATTCAATCTTCATCTCACAGTAAATAAAATAAGCCAATGAAATTTAAAAGTGGAAGTGTGTGGGATTAGTTTTACCTTTTCTGACTATTTTCCACTATTTATCAATACAATCCTCCAATAAAATGATTGATCAAAAAGAAAAAGAGGTGGGCGGTGTCACTTTGGAGTTTTTTTAAGCTTAAATGCGATATTTGATAAACTAAAAGGAGTGATCGAGAAGAAAACCGGGTGGGTGGGCGGGGCCACTTTGAGGTTTCTTTTAATCGTAGGTTCGAACACTTGACAAAATGAATTCAATCTTCATCTCACAGTAAATAAAATAAGCCAATGAAATTCAAAAGTCAGGTGGGTGGAGTTAGTTTTACCTTTTTTTATATTTTCTCGACGTTTCATGACCCCTAGAGTACGAAAAAAGTAATTTCTCGTTTCCGTCCGTATATTTATCTGATGTCTGTATCGATTTTTATTAGACACGTAATCTCCGAAACTGCTGGACCGTTTGTTGTCAAATTTTGTATGTATGTTAGAAATAGATATCATGTAGATGATTAAATGATAACCAAAATTTTGCTAATCATCCCCACCCACAATTTGGTGACGTTATTTCAAAGAATTCTGTGTTTATTTTTGATAACGGTACAAATTTTTGCAAAAACATAATGCATACCGAACAACCTTCTCGGGGGCCCCAAATGTCTTTTTTTTTATGTGAAACCTTCTCGGGGGTCCCAACTGTCTTTATCGCTTCAAATTTATATTATTTACAGTTAAAACTCATACAAAACATGTAAGTGCTTTACATAAATGTAATCATAATTTAATAATCTATCAGAATTTGTTAAAAAGATATACACTGCGATTTAGAAAAATATATGTTTGCGTCGCGACGCCAATGTCATACATGCGTCATATTTGCAATACATTAAATTAAGCTTCCCCTTCCAAGCCAAAAATAATTGCGTTTACAGCGAGGAACTGAAGAATCAAAAATTGAAAAATCTTAACGACTAAAAATCGCGAAAACTGAAATATCAAAAAATCGAAAAAAGTTTTAAACAGAAAAATTGAAAAATCAAAAAATTGAAAAACGGAAGATAAATTGCCGAATCAAAAAATTTAAAAATTCCAAAGCTGAGACATCGAAAAATTGAAAAATCAAAGACCTGAAAAATCCGAAAATCGAAACATTGAAAAATTTAGTCATCGAAAATGGTAAAATAAAAAAATCGATTAACCGAGAAATTGAGACATCAAAAAATTAAAAAATCAAGAAATCGAAAAATCAAAAACTTGCAAAAACCAAAAATAGAAAAGTTGAAAAATATAGTAATCGAAAATGGTAAAATCAAAAATCGATTAATCGAGAAATTGTGACATCGAAAAATTGCAGAATCGAAAAATTGAAAAATCCTAAAACTGAAACATTGGAAAAGTGAGAAATCAAAAAAGGAAAAAATCCGGATTTTTTTTTAATCTGGACGTTTCGGGCAAAGACTCAACACGGAGTCATAAACTACATGTGTCGGACTATGTTATTTTATACAATTTAAAACCCATTTACTACGTACAATTGAAGTGACGTCATCACATTATTGCTGGGGATAATTAAACAAATTTTGGTTAGCTTTTTACCATCTACTTTTTCTACAAAATTTAACAGCAATCGGTCCAGTGCTTTCGGAGATTATCTATCTAATAAAAATCCGGGACGGCAGACAGACAGACAGACAGACGGAAACGGGACACCTATTTCTTCGTCCTCTAGAGGTCATGTAAAGTAGAGAGTCGGCCGACGGACTCAATTACAATACTTCCTTCGTTTACGCTCGAGAAGTAAAAAGGTTATGCATGACTTTTACAGTTTAATCAAAATCATTACAAATATTTCCATAGGCAACTCTAATCTGAAAACTTTTTGATCACCCTTTAGTAAAGCTAATAAAAATCATCAGTGAAATTACAACTTTAGAATAATCAGTTAGGTAATTTCGTAGAAAAATAAAACAACGAAAACATGAAATTCGGCATTTGCAATATTTTAAAAAACTTTTTTTTAGCACAGTTCTTACGTCGTTGCCATATTATTCTAATTTTCTTGAAATTTTTTGGATTCACAAAAAGTTGCAATAGGGTTATTTAAAAAAATCTATGTTACAATATTTTGTAGAGGAATAAGTAAAGGTAGAAATTTAATCAAATTTTAATCTACCGCGTATTCATAAAAAATATAAAATATCAATATTTCAGTTTTTACTTCCCGAGCGTAAGCAAAGGAAGTATTGTAATCGAGTCCGTCGGCCGACTCTCTACTTTTACGTTTTCTCGATCTTTCATGACCCCTAGAAGACGAAGAAATAGGTCTCCCATTTCCGTCTGTCTGTCCGTCCGTCTGTCCGTCCGTCTGTCCGTCCGTCTGTCCGTCCGTCTGTCCGTCCGTCTGTCCGTCCGTCTGTCCGTCCGTCTGTCCGTCCGTCTGTCCGTCTGTTGTCCCGGATTTTTATTAGACAGATAATCTCCGAAAGTACTCGACCGATTGTTGTGAAATTTTGTACTTATATTAAGAATATCATGTAGATGGTAAAACGCTAACCAAAATTTGTCTAATCATCCCCACCACTAATGCGATGACGTCACTTCAAAATTGTACATAGTAAATGGGTTTTCAATTGTATAAAATAACATAGTCCTACACATGTAGTTTACAACTCTGAATCGACTTTTCCCCGAAACGTCCAGATTTTTGGAAAAAAAATCAAAATTATAAAACAACATTTTGAAATTTAATTTTTAATCTGCTAACCAGAATGCTTTGAAATGTTGCAGATGTTTTAAGGCTATAAAGAGCATCATAAATCTTTAGTCAAAAAATATTTGCTTATCCCCTCCAAAAACTTGATGACGTCAGCTCAAAAGTTTGTGGAATAAATCATATCTAAAATGTACAAAATATGATGAGTCTGTACTTGTGATCTATCACTCCATTCATATTTTTTGGATTTGCATATACAGGGTGACTCAAAAAAATTAATGAATGCGTAAATATATTTTATTGATTTAATCAGGAACTACAAAACCGAATGCTCTGAAATCTTGCAGATGTTTTAGGGTCATAAATAGCATAATAAATGTTTAGTCAAAATATATTTGCTTATCCCCTCCAAAAACTTGATGACGTCAGCTCGAAAGTTTGCCGAATAAATCATATCTAAAATGTACAAAATATGATGAGCCTGTACTTGTCATTTATCACTCCATTCATATTTTTTGGATTTGCATATACAGAGTGACTCAAAAAAATTAATGAATGCGTAAATATATTTTATTGATTTATAATCAGGAACTACAAAACCGAATGCTCTGAAATCTTGCAGATGTTTTAAGGTCGTAAATAGCATAATAAATGTTTAGTCAAAATATATTTGCTTATCCCCTCCAAAAACTTGATGACGTCAGCTCGAAAGTTTGCCGAATAAATCATATCTAAAATGTACAATATATGATGAGCCTGTACTTGTCATTTATCACTCCATTCATATTTTTTGGATTTGCATATACAGAGTGACTCAAAAAAATTAATGAATGCGTAAATATATTTTATTGATTTAATCAGGAACTACAAAACGGAATGCTCTGACATCTTGCACATGTTTTAAGGTTATAAAGAGCATAATAAATGTTTAGTCAAAATATATTTGCTTATCCCCTCCAAAAACTTGATGACGTCAGCTCGAAAATTTGCCGAATAAATCATATCTAAAATGTACAAAGTATGATCAGTCTGTACTTGTGATCTATCACTCCATTCATATTTTTTGGATTTGCATATACAGGGTGATTCAAGAAAATAAATGAAAGCGTAAATTTATTTTACTGATTTACTCAGGAACTACAAAACCGAATGCTTCGAAATCTTGAAGATATTTTAAAATTATCATAAGCATGGTAAATTTTTGATCAAAACGTATTTGGTCGTCCCCCCTAAAAAATTTATGACGTCACCACAAAATTTTGCTGAATAAATCCTATCTAAAATGTACAAAATATGGTGAGTCTCTTCTTGTGATTTATCATTCCATTCAAATTTTTTCGATTTGCATATACAGGGTGACTCAAAAAAATTAATGAATGCGTAAATTTATTTTATTGATTTAATCAGGAACTACAAAACCGAATGCTTTGAAATCTTGCAGATGTTTTAAGGTTATAAAGAGCATAATAAATTTTTAGTCAAAATATATTTGGTTATCTTCTACAAAAAACTGATGACGTCAGCTCAAAAGTTTGCCGAATAAATCGTATCTAAAATGTACAAAATATGATGAGTCTGTACTTGTGATTTATCATTCCATTCATACTTTTGGATTTGCATATGCAGGGTGACTCAAAAAAATTAATGAAGGCGTGAATTTATTTTATCGATTTAATCAGGAATTACAAAACCGAATGCTTTGAAATCTTGGGAATATTTTAAAGTTATTATAAGCATGGTAAACTTTTGTTCAAAATGTATTTGTTCATCCCTCCTAAAAAAATTGATGACGTCACCCTTAAATTTTGCTGAATAAATCCTATCTAAAATGTAAAAAATATGATGAGTTTGTACTTGTGATTTATCATTCCATTCATATTTTTTAGATTTTCTTAAGAGGTGGTTCAAAAAAACTAATGAAGTCAATTTATTTTATTGATTAAATTAAAGGCAATACTTATTATCAGTATTACACCCCAACCAACCCAATTTGGTAGACGCAAAATTTGTTAAAGGAAAAACTCGGTTGAAACATAAGGGTAGCACGCTTATTTACATCGACTTTAACATTACAGACCTGCATTTGTTTTATGCGCTCACTTGGTTCCGCGAATGTGAAATAGACATGTTTATAATCAACCAATTGTGAATTTCACCGTCAAGAATTAAAATAAAACCCAATGTTTTATATAATAAGCGGAAGTCGAAGCAATAAAACCGATGGTCGTTTTGTTGACAGTTTCTCTGTTTGACTCTCACGTATGCTGTTACGCCTGTCATCTTAAATTAAGAATGTTTATACATACACGATTTTCAGTTGCCTCTGATACGTATACGTGAGTAAATTGTTTCGTTATTTTATTGATTATTACAAATCAATATTCAAAACGACCCAATTCATTTTCCCGAAAATTTGAGAATATAATAATTTTATTCTTAGTATTACACTACATCTATCCCAACTGATATACGTGTCCTTGCAAAAATGTTGATGACGTCATCGCAATTTTTTTTAAATTCCCACTACAAAAATGTAATGAGAAAAAAACACAATAGGCATGCAGTCGTCAAGTTTCCGACAGCGAGGGAAGTACTGTCTAAACTCTTTAGACCAATTTTTTTTTTAATAGAACACCTGTATTTCACTGTATCTTACTCTATTTTTTGTGTTCACTCTTCTAAGATGTCTGTTAAAAGAGTAAAAAATTGCAGTATCGATCAAATTTAAATACAGAAAATACTTGACAAAAAAGAAAAAGAACAAAAAATAGAATAGGATGCACTAATAACATATAGGGTGTTTTATTCAAAAAAACTAAAATATCGATATTTGAAAATTATAAGGATTTTTTAGTAAACACTGTATATGAAAGTTGAATTTAATTTATAGCACAACAAAGCGCGTACCTTTATTTATCTCCCCACAAAATATTTAACAGATTTAAAAAATAACCCTACTGCGATTTTCTTTGTAAAGCCTTCTTTTGGTAAAAAATTTCAAGAAAATTGCGATAACGTGGCTACGTTGCATCAGAATTTCAAAAATAAACTGTGGCTTTAAAACCTATAGAAAAAAATATATAGGATGTTTCATGTAAAAAAAAACAAAGCTGTTTGTTACACCTAAAAACAAAACACTACCTAGTTAAAAATAGTTTTAGAGTTTAGTCTCAACGTTGGTCTTCGAATTTTTTTTTTCTATTTCTAAAAATTATTGAGGAACGCGCGTTTAGTGACTCATCCTGTATATATATTTTATTTTATACGAGTAAATTGAAAGTTTTCAACTGTAGTTAACTGAATACAAAACTAAGCAACAAAAAATGAACGACTGGTCGTTTGAACTACTACCTACCGAATTTTTTGAATCACCAAAAATTTTATAACAAGAAATTTTGACTGAAACTCGAGCGTCAAAGTAACAATGTGCCGCCGACTTTATGCGTCATTTTTTGATCACCTGTAAAAACTGTATATGCAAATTTAATTTTATTATTATGACAACAAAACGCATACTTTTGCGTATTTATCTATCAAATACTATTGTAATTTTAAAATAAGGGTAAAGTGAGATTTTCCTAACATAATTTTGTAATGATGTTATCAAATTAGTAGTAGGGACAAATACACCAATTTAGCAAAGTACATTGTAACACTAATAACAACAGCACTCTGTTACTAGAGTTTCAGGAACATAGGATAAAGCGTTTTTAACTTAATCAAGAAAATAAATTGCTGTCCATTCGCCATTTTTTTAAGACCTGTATAAACAGGTTTATATTGCAAAATTTAAATTTTTGAGATGGCGTCATCCCATTTTTCTGATTAACGGTTTACTATATCCAGATCTAGATCTGATATTATTTTAACAAGGTTTTCATTAACAACATAAAATTTTCGTCATTACAACGTTGCTTTATAAAAACGATATTAAAAAACTAAGCACACTATACATAGAGGGAAGCAATGCGAAAACATTAAAGCGACCAAAGTCACTAAGCAGAGATTTTCAAGTTTAGTGTGATTTAAAAATTACTATTAGTTTAAATTTTGAGATCCCAAACCTATAAACTCAAAAGTAAATTTTGGAAAATTATTTTTTCCCAGTGATCAAAACTCTAAATTTAGTAGCAGCAATATTGCAAAATTTACTGAAATGTTCTTTCTAGGTCCATAACTGTTTATTCAAAACATAAAAAACTACTACCTGTTGAATTAAGTTGGTAACAAGTAAAACTCCTCTTGGGCTTATTTTTACACTGACAAGTTAGTAGTATAAAAAACTTTGAATTTGAAATTTCATGACAAAAATGTAAAAATAAAATATGTAAACAAAAACGTGTTTTGAATAAAAACCACAATCATCCTAACTTCAATTCTTTAGCAGCAACAATCTCCCTAGACATTGTTGTTGTCTTGTGGTCTTTTAATTTTTAACAGATAATACATTTTCAGTACAAAATAATTAGCTGACGGTTTTAAAATTGTCACACTTTTAATTGCCTCCTCAATGTTTCCCAATTTTTTGAAAATACATTCCACTAACATGAAAATAGTGAAAAACTGTGATATAAATTTTGAAATACTCCGGTAGGAAAAGCCTGTATTTAAAAAATATTTTCGCACAATTAAGAGTTGTTTTGCACTTTACGTCATATTTTAATCCAACTTACATTTAGAAATTAATAATTAGTTTAAAGATTCTTTAAAATTTAAAATGGCTCTTGTATAAAAAATATATCTGAAGAAAATAAGGTAATAACGTAATATGTAATAGTTAATAGAGTTGTATAAAAACATTGCGCTGAAAATATGACCATACAACACACCTGCGCAAGCTTAAGTATTTTTACTTAAAACTCTATTTTAGAGAGGTCATCATGATCGATTAAACAACCGCTGGATTTTATTGCTCCTATCAAGTTTTATGACTTTACACAAAAGAATAGTTATTTTGGAAACTAAGTTCCACTGAAATAAAAACTTTAAATAGCTGTAACAGCGCATAAAACTTCATAGATATTTCATTTATTGTGTATATTTCTTGTATGGGATAAAAAAAAATAACGAAGTGCTACAAAACGAAAAATATAAAACAAGCTGATAACACATAATGCTGCCACTATAAAGTTCACAAAATTTGCGAATTTAAATATAAATCATAAATAACCACCACATCTTTGAAAATATTTAAAAAACGAGACATAATGAAATAACTATTAATTTTTAAAATGAGTAAATCAAGTCAAGACAGTCGATCTACAATCAAAAGAAGAAAAACCATGCACACCACGACTAATTTTACCACAAAACTAGAGCTACAAAAATTAGAAAAAAAAACACTTCCAGAACTGATGTTCGATCGTATTGTAACAATAAAAACTACAGAGTAACTCAAGCTACGAGTGATCTGTTAAACAGCTCCCACAACCAGGTAAACATGCTCGTTAGTGCATCGAATGGTGCAAAGCTTTAGAAGCGGATGACAAACCTCATTCGTTATACGCTCACAGCTGGCCCTATCCTTCTCTCTGTCCTTCAATTGCTCTTTTAACAAATTGATCTCCTTCTGTGCCTCATCGCGCTCTTGTTCGCGTTCGGCGGCTTGCTCCTCCAAAAACTGACAAGTTACTTTGTATTTCTTGTCGGCGGCCTCGATCTGAGTAAAACACGCTAATTACTAGCCACGCAGCCTTATTCACCATCAAAATTAAGCAGTGGTCCATCTCCAACGTTTCGTCAAGAATAGATCCGACATCATACCCCACTTTACTTATTAGCGTTTTTACAGTTTTACGAAAATTTGTTTACCAATTAAAAAACAATACACTAAAATAAAGTGTGGTATGTTTTTGAACAAAACTACTACAACAAATTCTAATTCGCGATCTTACCATCTTCAACTGGCACTAGCTAGATACTAACAACTGAATTCACAATGTCAACACCAATGCGGACTAGGTAATGCGAATATAATTTTGCTTACGATACATAAAGGCGTCTGTTACTCTGTCGAAAACAGATCCATTAAGACCCTAACAATACCTACTTATCAAGAAAAATCCTTTCAGAATTCACAACAAAGCTCGGTCTGAATCAATGAGTCATTAAGCAATGGCCGCAGTAAGCTCCATGATCATTCCTAAGCGATGAAATGTTATGATGATCACCAACTTACTTCATTTCCTAGTCAACGTTTTCACCCCGTTTTCAAACTAACATTCATTTCGGAAAAACGTTTATGATATTAAAAATGAATTAAATAGTACAAACCTGCTGTTTGTAGTCATCCCGTTCTCTGCGAGCCTCTTCAACAATTTTATCGCCAACTCTAGCCAAATCTTCTATTAAATGCATCGTGTTCGTGTCCAAACCACGGGGACTTTCGCTCAAACTTCTTACCTTTTCTTGTAACACAGCCAAACTAGCTACCGCTTCGGCTAAAATTAAATTTAAAATTAAAAATCGATTGCTTTAAGGTGTACAAAATATACAAAGTGACGACAAAGTCTACGCTGGAAGACATACATATAGGTTTATTTTTTAAAGGATACATTAGTTGTATAATATAATCGAAAAAGTCGTCTAGTAGGCATGAAATTTATTTTTAAAACAATGATGTTTAACCGTAAATGTCAAACACGTGGTGCGGCCAACATAACTCTCTTAGCATTAAATTTCAAAAGTTGCTGGACGACTTTTTTAAGGGACGTTTCCTCAAACTGTGAAACTGGTTGATAGTTATTAATTCATCTTCGATCAGAATGTATTGGAACGAAATAAACATAATATTAAATTTTTTTATAATTTTCCACGATAATTAAGAGTTTTTTTTTTGTGAAGAAAAAGATATGTTAGTCTCAAGTAATTTCTCAATTCTAAATCCTGTTTTTCAAATATCGATTCCGCTTGAACTGTTTTTGATTTTAAATTGTAATTTGGCCTTGAAAAAAGCCAGGCCATAAAAAGATTACTGAAATATTAAGTTTCACTTTTGTTGTCAAAATAAACCAAAGTAGATTAGTTACCCAACTAAGTCAAATTTCAGGTCAAAAAAGTCGTCTTTTAAGAACAACAGTTCTAAAATCACACTTGGTGACCTTATCATCACTCTGTATAATAAACATAGAGCGGGTCTTATGATTTGGCTCAGGTTGCTAGTACCCCAGTTCTTGTTAATTTGTTTTCCAATTATATAATTTCCCCATTAAACTAATTACTGTCAAAATTTGAGGATTCAAGCACAGTCTGCATTACATTGAAACAACCAACACTGCACTTTGCAACACTATAACTATACCTACAACATCAAAAAATGTGTCTTGAAATCAGTCCTCATAAAATCAGGTTTGATTTAGTTTCCACACATGATTTTAGAGAAAGTGAAGATGAAAGGTCGATTTATAAACTTGTCGCTCGCCCACCCGCTCTACCTCAATTGTGATGTTTTTTTTTTTATTCGCGGTGAACCAAAATACTTATTTCTTTACAAAGAATTAAAAACATGTTTTTGAGTATCGCTTTGTTCAAAGAATACTATGTATGTTAAGAAAAAAAGCAAAATATAAATCCCGCCCACCCACCCCATCTCAATTATGACGATTTTTTATTCTTAGAACCTTAAAACACGTTTAAAATGGTAAATTTTTTCGTAAGGAAATATGGATTTTGCAATTAAGCTCCGCCCCAAAGTCTGCCAATTAATGAAAAATTCATTACTATTTAGATCAGGGCAGATATGGGTGGGCCTTAATCTTTGGCTTTCATTTTTTCTTAATATGCAGAGTATTTTTTGAATAATACGATACTCAAAAACATGTCTTATATGGTAATTACCTATAGAAAAATAAGGATTTTGCAATTAAATTCCGCTCCGTTGGCTCTCGACGATAAAAAAAAATCATCACAATTGAGATGGGGCGGGTGGGCGGGGCTTATATTTTGCTTTTCTCTTAACATACGTAGTCGTTTTTTCAGAACAAGAACCTTAAAATATGTTTAAAATGGATCTTGCAATTAAACCCCGCCCCTCGATCTGACAACGAATGAAAAATTCACCACTATTTTTTAATTTCTCCTAGAATTTTGCAGTTAAGCTCCGCCCCCTTGGCTAACGACGAATAAAAAAAATCATCACAATTGAGACAGGGCGCGTGGGCGTGGTTACATTGTGCCCTTTTTTTCCTTAATATGTGTAGACTTATTTCGACAATAAGAAACTTAAAACATGTCTAAAATGGTAAATTTTTGTAATAATCAACTTAAAGCTTCCATTTTTTTTCTACAACCCCTTTAAATACGGCAAAACTTGAACAACAAAGTTACTATTATCAACGGCAACTTTACAACGGAGTTTATAAATGACAATTTTCAGCTCTAAAAGCAACGTCAATGGGACCACCAATTGCAACGGAAACTTCAAGTATCTATGTAGGCGCTGTATTACTCAAAACTTCTCAAACTCCAGTACAAAAAAAAATATATATCTAGTTATTTAGACTGACCTTCCCTCACTCTTAAAGTACTTTATGATAGAAAATAACAGTCGTCTGGTAAGCCATGAAATTTATTTTCACAAGAATGATGTTGGTACTACAGCTATTTGATACTTTTATTTGACAGTTATTTGTCCGAACCACGAACGCGTTAGTGTTACCAACATAAATTTCAAGCTTGCTAGACGTCTTTTTATTCGATCATATGGTACTGTTGAGAGCACAGAATCTCGGGCAAGGTTTTTAAAAGTAAGGTTATGGTACGTAAGGATTGTTTTCACAAGTTATGAAATGACATCAGTGTCCGAGATTTCGTGCTCGCAGCAATACAACTTCTTCTTTAGAAAAATTAAAAAAACTGATACCGTGAATTTTATTTTATTTGTAGTAAAACCTACAAGTAAAAATGGTAGGTTAGAATATATTAACTTTGACATACCTACAATGTAACATTAATCTCAATTTTTGCGAGAATTATAGAAGTTATACGAACTGTTGTATTGTTGTCCCTGCATTTAATTTTTCAATATGTATATGTTCTTCAAACAATTACACGAACTATTTTAGTATAAAATGTTAAATTTTATTACTTCGTGGAGCTTCCTCATTAATTATTGAAAAATAAAGAAAACACCAAAAACTTACAACGTATTTTTTAAACAACCATGAAGAACATATTTTTCACTACTAAGCGAAACAAATTAAAAATAGTATATTAAAAGTATATGGCAAATCAACAGTGATAAAACTGGAAGTGTATTTGATCATTAAAGGCAACGAGCGATAAAAAAACTTGAACAAAACCTCTATTTACTTGTTGATCGTGTTTTGTCACTAAAACGTATGTCTGCATTTACATCAATACATGTCGAAAAAGTGAGGTTATAACGAAAATTAATTAATAAATTTAGAACAAATAATGAAACTGCCCTGATTTTTACATGAACTAAACGATAGTTGCGACAAATGACAATGAATCTGCGTATATTTGATAGTTCTCTGACACTTGCGTTCCCGAAAAAAAAGACAATCAAGTAACTAGACTGAATCAACGCTGATTAATGTCTGAAAAAATTAAAGAAGACCAATATGTGGCTCCTTTAAGGAAAAATTTTGATTTTGCAAACTTTTTAAGCCAACACCGGGTGTCTCAGTTTACTTTTTCCACTTTAACATCCAGTTATTTAAAAAGATGGCAGTTCAAAATTTAGAACGGTCAATTATCACAAGACAATGCACAAAATTCTGTTAGCGTTTAACCTTTTTGGAAATAATATCTTTTTTTTTTTTAATACATACATGTTTAAGCGTGTTAATTATACTTTTATTTTTTTCAATGGTGTATCAGTTAGTATCTCTGCCTTATTTCGTCTAGTTCTCTAATATCTCAGATTTTTAAAATACCGAAATTTGAAATGATTAAATGATATAAAAAGATGTACAAAATAACTATATAATACACTAGCTGACCCGGCCACGCGTTGCTGTGGCTAAAGTTTTTGTTATATTACATTATAGTAAACAATCTAAGAGGAACAATAAGAGAACATCAGTCACGGAGTCCACTATGCTTTTTCACACAGATGGTATTTGTAAAAAAATATGGTGATCTCCTTATTTGACTTTCTACTACTATAACCCTTTAGTACAATGAAATTATTTACGAACAAAGACGAAAATGTTGATGTTGGTATACAAATTCACTGGATTGAGATTTGAAGGGGAAGTACGTTGAACACAATATTTCGTTCACTACAAAATAAATTTAATTAATTTTATAGCGTCAACAACACGTGGTAATTATGCTGTTAAAATGTAGCTTATATGACACGTTCGTAGATTTACCATAGCAGCGCCATCTATTGATTACTTACTCAACCCAGTCGAAAGGTATCGACATCTGTTAGAATCATTTGGAGTTAACAGATAATTGTGACTGTCAAATAATAACAGTGCGAATTTTATTATAATCGGTTAAGTGGTTTAGGAGTCCATTGAGGACAAACATTGTGACACGAGATTTATATATATTAAGATTACAACTGTGATGATTTGTTCGCAAAATGACATCAACTTTTTAATTACATACGTAAGAGGATAATTATATTCTTTGAGTGTTACATTTTTTATCAGTGACTTAACGCCATTTTGAAATATATCACCGAAAAGAGGGAAAAAAAAAGAACTATTTGAAACACTCACAAGTACTAAAAATCCAACACGGATTCATAAACAACAAGTCCAAATAAATTAAAGAAAATTTACTATTGTAAAATTTTTAGATGACATACAATTTGAGGACAATTTACTAAAAAATCGACACAGACTACAAAAACAAACAGATAGACGGAATAACCAAATGCGATATAACGTGAAAACTATACTGCTTTTACACTATTTCTGTGTTTAATTTACGATTCCAAATTTCAGACTTTTGTCAGTTCAAATAATTAAAATAAGTAAGCTAAGATATGACAACTTAAAAATTTTAAAGCGTTAAGCCAAACGAGTTACGTATTAAGAATTAGATAGAATTTTTTTAACATCATTATCATCTTCATATCATTTTTATTTGACGCACTTAAAAAACAAAACGCCATAATAATTTTCGGAAAAATTTAAAGTGATATATGCTATTCGTACATTCATTTTATAGGTTTCTGTGTATTAATTAATCTTTCTAAATTTCAAAATTCTATATTATTAAAATAAACATATGACCAACATATTACTTTTGAAACGAAACCGTATACTGCAATACTATTGTGTTCCTTCGGGAAAATTAAATAAATCATTTTAATATTTTTAATCAATCAAAATAAATGATTCTTTCATTATTGTTTTCAACACTCTGTATAACAATTCAAAAACAAATAAAAATACGATCAAGACCAAAGCAAAATTGCATTTTAGGGCATATTCTTTGATATATATTTGGTTAATAATTTTGTGAAACGACGTCGTGAACGTTTTATTAGTAACTTCAATCAAAATTCGAAAGAAACCCATTACGTTATTATATTTTCTTTACCAGAACCTCCATACATGCGGTTAAAAATATGGATAGGCGATTTATTAAATAAAATTCTGAATGACGTCATCAATTTTTTGGTAAACGTTTTGCCATACACATGAAAATCTTAAGTAGTTTCTAAGGTTATCTGTTTAATAAAATGCCTACAAACAGACAGACAAAAACGGGGGATCAACAATTTCGTATTCTACGGGTTATAAAACGCCGAGGTAAAAGAATCAACTAGTTTTGAAACAGTAACTTCTAAAAACCAGAGGAAATCAAAATGTTAGCAAGATATGTCTAACTTGCAAACAATATAACGACCGTCCAATAAAAATATATTTGGAGCAGCCCTTGGAATTATTATTATTTGTCGCTTATTTATAACAGTGTAATTATTTTCGGAGACTAAGTAGGCACCCGAATATACTTTTGAGCATGGATAGTTTCATCATTACTATCTTAAGTGCAATCGAGTTGACAGATAATTGACGTTTGACTTAAGGGCATTTCTTAGACTTACGTATCAATTTTTCGTGGTTTATTGTTATTTTATCTTTTGTTTTGTTTGCGTGATAAAAATCAGTTCTTTTGTGTGTTTTGCTGTTTACGACATTTTTATGAGCAGATTTTTCTGAACAATACAGAATATTGTAATGTCTTACTGTCGAAACGATATAAAAGCAGATGGAACTTGTCAATATTCAATCAGATTATGTTTGGAAAAGTATCGAGAACAATTCCCCCACTTTGTCCGGTTTTTTATGGTAAAGAGTGTCTTTGTGCTTTAATCACAATGCACCAAACTTTTCCCGAGGGAACTGTTGTAATGAAGTGATTATTCTAATCACCATTATGATTTTCATTACTTCCATTTGCTTTTTATTTCAAAAGTAACTTGTCAACACAAAACACTTGTCACTTGTTTTTATAAAAATAAATTAATTTTGGAGCAAATTTTTTCAAAGGCTCGAGGAAGGTATTCCTTATGACCACGAAATATCGGCTACCAGAAAATTTGTGGATGTAATACAGACTAAAATCAGAAAATATTTTCTAACCTAACATTATTTTATTAAATGTCATTTTCAATAATCGTTTTTGACGCGACTCTACACTCTAAAAACGCCGTAAACAATTGAATTTTCACCGCCTGCTCTAAAATATTTTTTATTGTACTCGTACACCACCACGTAACCCAAATGGCAGATGATAGGAGATAAAGCAAAAAAGTTTACGTTTTTTAGTCAAGACAAACTATTAATAGCAAAAAACTGAACCAAATCAAAGGACCCCCTCCTAAATAAATCTTAACAGTAATTCACTAACCTAAACCTCTCACAGCTCTCTCTCCATTTTCTCCATACCCTTCTGACACGATCTCCTTGTGACCATTCTCTATCAACTCGGCGATTTTTTCTCTGGCATGTAACAAATCATTCTCAAGCACCTTCTGACTCTCCAACAACAACTCAAGTTGATTTTCCAGCGCCCCCCGATCAGTTTCCAAAGACTGAACAATACTCTTCGCCTCACTCAACTGTTCCGCCAACTCATTTTTTATCTGCGTCTCATTTATCAACTTTCTTGTCAACGAAGTCATTTCTTTCTCCAGTGAACCACTTTTTGTTTTCGGAACGTCGATTTTCTCAGTCTCCTTATTAAAAGCCGTGCTAAGAGCTAAAATCGCGTTAGCGTCAGATTTCAGTTTCTGCAAACACGAGCCTAGTTCGCTCTTCAAGTCAATCGATTCTAAATCATTGTCGGCGGAGTTATCGATCAAAGTGATCAGATCGTTAAAATTCGGCGTGATATGTACTCGCTTGATATTACTCAGACTATCTCTAGGTGAAGTGATTTCTAGTTCGTTCTCAATTTGAGTAAAGTTTTTAGTGACTAACTCCTCCACTAGCGTGTTGTTGAGTTCGTCTTCGCACTGAGTGAAATACTTAAGAAGTTCCCCTAACAAATTCCGTAAAGAGAGTGTTTGTTTTTTCAAGGCATCGCGCTCTTTGAGAAGCTCGATTTCGCCCTTGCTCAAACTATCGGCGTCTCGGAGACTGCGCCTGCGCGCTCGCTCTAAAGCCCCGTTTAGAGTCTTCACGTGTTCTTCTTTCAAGCGCGCGATTTCTTCCAAATGCGCTTCGCCGAGTCGAAGGATCTCCTGTTGGTACTTTTCGGCGAAACGCGCCTTTAGCTGGAGGAGTTCTTCTGGCCAATCGTCATCGATGCTGTCGCTGGCGACTAGACGCTGCAATGACGGTTGTCAGAAGAAAGCGATTTGATTGGTTAAAACATATAACACCAACACCGACAGTTACCTGGATCTGACTTTCGAGTGCAGCGATGATGTCGATTTTAGCTAGAGTGACTTGTTCTTGTAAACGTCGCTCATAGCTTTGCACCACTTCGTCAATTTCGAACTCACCAGAGTTCGCCTTTAGTCATGCAGGTAGTTAAAGACAGATTAGTACACAAAGACAACGACACACATGGATGTTTACAGAATGTTTCAAATGTTTTCACAAATATTATAGGATTAAAGAAAACAGATAACGGAGGGTTTTAACAACTGCTGATATTAATTTGTGAATAAAAATTTAACTGAAGAACTCTTGTATGCACTGGTTATATTTTACTTGAATATTTAGAACTGACTCACTAAAATGAATGTTACATAAATTGCTGTTAAGGTAAATTACATGATTAGGAGAAAAGTGCACATTACGAGTATTCTAAAGAATGAACGTGATTTAACTTTGTGAACTTGACATTTCATAAAATTCGAACATGCAAATCAAATTGTCCACACACTCTACAACTAAGATCAATTAGGTAATTCTTGTATAAATAAAAAAAAATTAGTCGAAAATTGTTTCTACAGAACTTCCCTCCCTCCTGAAGTACAATGAAACATATCCAGCATTTTCGAGTTAAGTTTTTCTTTGCACAATTTTGTGATGACATCATCAACATTTTTGCTAGGACACGTATATCAACTTGGATTGGTGTAGTGTTATACTAAAAATAACTGTATTGTATTCCCTAATTTTCTGGGAAAATGAAGTGAACCGTTCCTGATTTAATCAATAAAATAAATTGTCTCATTTGTTAATTTTTTTGACCCACCTGTTTAAGCAAATCTGAAAAATATGAATTCAATGATAAATCACAAGTAAAAACTCATCAGATTTTACACATATTGGGTAGAATTTATTCGGCAAAATTTGCGGGGGGAGAGAATAAAGAGATATATTGATTAACAATTTACCATACTTACAACGACTTTAAAACGTCTACAAGATTTCAAAGTATTCAAGCTATCAGTATAATCCGACAAATCCAGCTCTTTAAAAAAATTATAAGATTTGATTTTACGATTTTCGTTCTGTGATAATCGCTGTAAAATAAAAACCAGAGGCATAAATAACACCCCTTGTCCTTCGGCAGTAGGTAATAGCAATCAAAAGCTCAAGTGTTTATTTATGTTTATAGTAGAAGTTAGTTTGATTTGAATGAGTTTGTCTTCTCAAAACAGGACTAAAATTATTAATTATTATTAAACCACAATCGAACAAAATGTTCTGAATATTATAATTCTTATTTTATCATTATTATATAAAGATGTGCGTATTCTTCACATTTTCGAGAAAATGGGGTGACTTTGTGATTTCATCAACATGGATAATTCAAGTCACAGCATAAAAGAAAAGTAGTCACAGCGTTATACTAATGCAAGAAAAAAAAAAGGAAAGGGCCAAATTCAGTATTGAACAACAATCGCAGAACCACAGGTCGCCGCTCTCTGCGATACACCCACTGTGCCGCGGAAACGACTAAACCGTGTCGGGAATAAAACGTTATTATACCTTGCAAATGTTTTCCCGAAAATTTGAACGTTTAGCGAAAAAACTGAAAGTGGATTCGTACACTAAAAGTATATGAGTATATTTTTGTGTAACATTCAAATCATTTTAGAATACCATTCATTGGAATGACGTGATCAAGGTGTTGATTACAATACATCCTTCGCTTACGCTGGGGAAGTAAAAGGTTACCTTTCTGAATAGTTGAAACAGTGTTTTAGAAGTAAGGATTTCTAAAGTAGATTATCATAATTACTTAAGACATACAGTGTCCCAGAGGTGTGGTGACTGAAGATTTAAAACTATTGTCAAACACACAGTTTGTGTTTTGTTTGAAAATTACGCACCCTAGGTGTATTTTTTTTTTTTTCATAACACGTATATATTTTTATAAATTTACATTTCTCATTAAAAAAGATTTGTTTCTTTTGACAAAAGTAATTTGCAATGTTACCAAAAGAAATTAAAGCTGTCAATGTGACGTTTAAAAAAAATATTTTAAACTAAGACAAACGGTTTTTCGTGCATAGCCAACTTTGACTAATTTCTTTTTCGATCTCTCGGTATATCAGTTACAAAAGTTTTTCAATCAGTAGTTTTCAATATATATAGGGGTGTTCAAAAAATGGCGCACCAATTAAACGGTACATTATTAAGTTCACAAGTCTTAAGTCAATTTGACGTTTACTTACAAAAACAAAATATCGATTTAGATAGATACATCAAAAAATATGTTTGTATTATTATGAAATCAAGAATACAATGGATAAAGTCAAGATACCTCCAAAATTATATTGAATAATGAAAGTTCGATCGATTTCAGGTACCCAACACAAAATAGTAAATTAAAATATGGCGAAATTTCGAAAAGAAAAATTAAACTTTGGAGACCCATATCTTCTACATTTGTACAAAAAAAAAATAATAATAATAATAAACTATTTTTCTCTCCTCCATAAAGGATCCTGGAAAACGAGTATGACTCATCGATTGATTTGCACATTTGTGTTTAAACACCGACTATATTTACATTTTTATGTAAAAAAAAAATGGATTTTGTCATTGAACTTTCTGTGCCTCTGAAATACAATCAAATAAATCCCAATTTTTAGGAAAAAAATCATAGGTAATACGAATCAACTGAGCTATTGAGCGGTTGCTAAACGTTCTTATATTATTATAAAATGTTGTTATACAATTTTGTTTCTTTTTGCGAAAACCTGGATATATAGGATCAACAATCAAGCGGATTAATAAATCACGAGTACAGAGATATAATTTTTATAAAATTTAAACAGCATTTGCGTCATGTAAAATTTTGAGGTGCCATAATGAAATTGTTGATGATCAGACAAATTCTGATTAGCATTTTACTATCTACATATTTCCAAAATAACTATAAAATTTTACAACAATTAATGCAGTAGCTCCGGAGATTATCTATCCAATAAAAATTGATACAGACGACAGACAAATGGGAACGGGAGACATACTTTACCACACCCTAGGGGTCATGAAACGTCGAGAAAACATTAAAGTAACCATGCGCCGGATTATTACATTACTTCCTTAACTTACGATCATCGTAATTAAAAACGGTAGCCTGCAATTTTTCATAAAGTTATTTACTAACCTTATTTTGACAAAGGTATAAAATATTGAAGATTTTTTAACCCATTTATGTGAATTTGTTATTGTTTCAAAATACATAATATGTATTACAAAAGCAAAATGAAAAATTAAAAAGTTCATATTTAGCTCACTTTTTCTTCTAGTAGTGGGTTTTATGAATTATTTAATCTAAAACAAGAACAGACTCATCATATTTTGTACATTTTAGATAGAATTTATTCGGCAAACTTTTGAGCTGACGTCATCAGTTTTTTGAAGGGGATAAGTAAATATATTTTGGTTAAACATTTATCATGCTTATCATAATTGTAAACCATTTGCAAGATTTCAAAGCATTCGGTTTTGCAAATTCCAAATTAAATTGCAAAATGTTTCATAATTTTGTTTTTTTTTTCCTGGTAAATACTCAATTCGGAGTCATAAACTAAACGCGTAGGAGTATGTTATTTTATACAATTTAAAATCCATTTACTACGTACAATTTTGAAGTGACGTCATCACATTATTTGTGCGGATGATTAGACAAATTTTGGTTAGCAATTACCATCTACATGATATTCCTAATATAAGTACAAAATTTGACAACAATCGACCCAGTACTTTCGAAGATTATCTGTCTAATAAAAATCCGAGACGGCAGACAGACGGAAACGGGAGACCTATTTCTTCGTACTCTAGGGGTCATGAAAGGTCTAGAAAACGTGAAAGCAGAGAGTCGGCCGACGGACTCGATTACAATACTTCCTTCGGGAAATAAAAATCATACATAATACAAGTCAACTAAGCTAATGAGCGGTTGCTGAGCGTTCTCATATGATTATGAAATGTTGTTATACAATTTTGATTTTTTTTTGCGACAATCTAGATATCCAGAATAAACAATGAAGCGGATTAGTAGACCACGAGTACAGAGGTACATTATTTTTTTTAATTTAAACAGCATTTACCATGCAAAACTTTGATTTGATATGATCAAATTGTTGATAGGGATGATCAGACAAATTCTGGTTATCATTTTACTATCTACATAATATTTCTAAAATAACTACTAACTAAATTTTGCCGCCATCAGTCCAGTAGTCCCGGAGATTGTCTATTCAATAAAATTCGATACAGACGACAAACAAATGGAAACGTGAGACCTACTTTATTATACCCTATGGGTCATGAAGCGTCGAGAAAACATTAAAGCAAACACGCGCCATATAGACCCTATTAAAATAGTTCCTTAACTTACGATCGGGAAGTAAAAATTATGGTCTTTAAAAACAGTGGTCTCGAATTTTTTATAAAATTATTTAGTAACCTTATTTTGACAAAAGTATAAAAAATTAAAAACTCTGTTTTAACCCATTTGTGTTAATTTGTTATTGTTTCAGAAAAAATATATATTACAAAAGCAAAATGAAAAACTACAAAGTACAAATTTCTCTCACTTTTTCTTCTAATTCTAATAATAATACAGAGTTATTAAATTTGTAAACTGTAGGCTTTTCTTATAAGTATTCGACCTGGTAAAAAATGGTGAAGTTGCAAATATCTCAAAAACTGTTCTAAAAAAAAAAAACACTTGTGTTGACATCGCTTTTTCCCTTTTTTTAATATAAATCTATGAAAATATATAAGGCGCTTCATTTAAAAAAATTAAAATTTAGTAAACCGTTGGGGCACTTTGTACATCTATTCAATAAAATTACAACCTAATATTACTTTACAAAAATTTTCGCACAGTAAATTTATAAATATTCCTTTTTGTTCTACATGTTGCTGTTCATTAATTTGTGATGTCACATTTTTAAATATTAAAACGATTTTTACGAACGCAAGCAAAGGAAGTATTGTAACAGGTAGGTTTCCCGTTTTCATCTCTCTGTTTTGATTTTTTTTAAACAAATGATAATATCCGAAACTACGTACTAAACCGATTATTATCCAATTTATGTGATTTAAGAATATCGTGTAGATGGTAAAGCGCTATCCAAAATTTGTCTAATCGTCCCCACCAACAATTTGATAACGCCCTCTCATCACTTTGTGTAGTATAGGTTATCTAAATTCTATAAAATAATACACTCCTGTACTCGTAGTTTATGAATCAGCCTTAACTTTCATCACAAATAATTTGTGTGCAATATTTTTACGTGTTTCTTGTAGTCAATCTCTGTGAGTTTGATCCCATCCTTACACTTTCTTTTTACACTATGACTAGTATTATTTATGTTTTTTTACTTGTAGAGGTTATCATTACATTAATAAAATTTTACAAAATACAATTCCATCATTTTTGGAAAAAACTGGCTTTGTTCGATTTTATTTAAGAAGGGATGGAATTTCTGTAAATAACCTTTTATCATTTTTTTTTCTACTTGTAGTTCCATAAATTACTTACTCAAAAAAAAAATTATACCGAATTATTAAATTTGTAAACTGTCTATTATTACTATACTAATAAAACTCTTTTACGTTCTAAAAAACTGAAAACTTTGAAACTACAAATTTTATATTTTTGTGACAACCTGTACACAGGGTGATTCAAAAATTGCGCGCGCACTAAATCAACGGTACCTGTCACAAGTCTAAGTTCTTGAAATAACATTAATAAATTCCTTACAACAAAACAAAATTTCGATTTAAATAAATGTATTAGAGATGTACCGACTGTAGGTCTGGCCGACTAACCGACTAGCCGATTGTTCGGCCAGTAAAAGCCGACTAGTCGGCCGACTGTTCGGCTTTGCTAAAACCGGTTTATAAATGCGACAGACAGTATGTTTTTTTTTTCTATTTCTATGACTACCTTAAAAATTTGTTTTATTTTGTGGGTATTGTTGGTGATTTAAAAGCGACGGTACGGTTTTCAGATTTTATTTCGTTCTTTACTGTTCGAGAGTGCCAGGGAGAAGAAGGAAGGGTGTTTAAAATGGTACACAGGTAAGCTCGGTTTCGAAGAGGTGGAAGTAGGTAAAGAAGGAGTTTAGAAAATTCTAGAAGGGAAAAGAGAAAGTATGTAGGAGCGTAGGGCAGGTAGACGAAAGATCGGAAGTATTTACATTTATACAATTATTATGAATGCGCTCAGGTTGAACACCGGATTTTGTGGGAACTGTTGTTCATACAATTTTAATAACAGGAATAACTAAAGTTCCTTTGTTTTCCAAAAAATGTATTAAATTTGTTTCGATAATTTTAACATTTAATTTTTTTTAGTAAGTCAGTACAAAAATAAAGAATAACACAATTTAGGGCCAGTTTATACAATATTTTAACTGCGATTAAGTTGATCGCGCATTTAACAAGGCCATTAGCGACGTCTGATTGGCGTAGAGTCGGTCACATGGTACTTTAAGGCGGGGTTAAAAATTAAATCGCAATTAAATATTCAATTGAGGTTCTGTAAACCTGGTTTAATTGTTTTATATACTATTTTAATTGCAATAAAAAAAGCCGACCGATCGGCTGTTTAGCCGACTAGTCGCCGACTGTAGCCGACGATGAAAAATGGCCGAATAGTCGGCTTATCCGACCGGTCGGCCACTAGTCGGTACATCCCTAAAATGTATTAAAAAAGTGAAAAATCTGAATTCTGAACAATTTTTAAGTTATCTGTAATACATACAATAAAATGAAGAAAAATGTGGAGAACTACAATACCTCCAAAATTATTTTGAATAATGAAAGCACGAACGACTTCATGTAGCCGAGACTAATAAATGTATTAAAATATGGTCAAATGTCTAAGAAAAAATTTTGACCTTTGAAGGACTGTCTTGTATATTAGGGCTCAAGGATTTTTTAAACAATTTTTTCTTTCCTCAATAAAAACCCCTACCAACGTGTATAGTTAGCAGTCTTTTAATCACCCTGTATATTATAGTTTATATCATGAATCGCAAGTAAGTTTACTTTTACGTTTACTACGACATTTTATTGGTGTGTTCTTCTCAAAGTATTTTCACTCTAAAACATTGCATCAAATTCATTCTAAGTTGGTGTATAACCTAATTTTTGCTAAAACAAAATGTTAAAGTTTTTTCACTTTCACTCTATTACGTTTACTTATTATTGCCGGAATTTTGTAAATTCATATACTGTCACAAAAAACAAATCAAGAAAAAAAATCAAAACTCCCTCTATACAAATGCAGGAGAAAACGGTATATTGTGAAATAGCAATATCAAGCTATTTAGCAATAAAAATTTAATAAAAAAATTGTAACCATAATAACGAACACAAAATTAAGATATATTTGAACACAGTGACATTTACATTAACATTAATTATTTTGCAAAATATCTTGACATTAATAATTCCCAATGTACCAAGTTTTCCTCTGCACGCTGAAATAAAAATATAGAAAGTGTTCCATTGAAGAACGTTAAATTAGGGTCATTTCCGGCTAGACTGCAAGTGCATAATGAATCAATTATTTACTTGGTACATTTTTAGCCCAATTTGAAAATAAGAAAAATATCTTATCGTTCCAGAAGTTTTAAGTAACACTGTATAAGCCTAAAAAAATTGTACATTCTGAAAGCATATATCGTTGACAAAAACACAAACTGTTTTCGGAATATTCTAAATTCTGAGTGTGTGACTGTTTAGGAAAAACAGTTTTGGGTAAATTTTTAATGTTCAAATGAATAAAAATAATGGACAGTAATAAAAGTCATTAAAACCAAGGAGTAATTGCTTAAGTTTTTTAAAAAATAACTCAGCAGTGTTATCTGTTTAACAGTCAAAGCTTATTCCTAAATATCTTTGTTGTGGTTTGAGATACAGTGTAATAAATGTAGGTAAAACAAATTTAATTTAATGAAAACAAGACAAAACAAAAAATTACGGACCTTGAAGCTACTCACTGGGTCACAGGGAAGATGCAAATAAAATATAACAATGAACTTTTGATTAAAATAACTGACAAAAAAAACAAGACCAATATGAAATGAGGTTAGAATCAAAATATTCAGTGACATTTAAGTCCAACTATTGTTAAAATGAACCTAAATTAAAAAATTGTCAATGTTGTTAAATTCAAGTTAATTTGTTTAGTTATTTATGAAAACATCAGAAACATTTATTTAAACAATCAATACAAAAACTTACAACTTCCTGTTGAGTGGTAGTCGAAATCCTCCCCCTCAGTTGCGTGTTCAAATCATCAATTTCCTCCAAATATTTTTTCTCCAAACTTGTCAACTTATTCTCGTGCTCTACATTCAAAACATCAACACGATTATCAAAATCTTCCCTCAAAATTTCAAGCTCGGCGTGATACTTATTTTGAAGTTCATTTTTCATGAGTGCTAAATCATACTTGATTAAACTACGAAGTTCAAATTTACTAATTTCAGTCTTTAGATGATCAAATTCGTCGTCAGTAAGCTCGTCCAGATTAAAATTGTCCAATAAACTAACTACTTGAGCCAAAGTTTGCTTCATCTTTGTGACATCTTTCTTTGTGTATTCAATTTTATTGTCACCACCTGGACCAGGCTGGTTGAAAACGAAATCTGACGAAAGTTCGGTGTCTGAGCATGAGCTGGAACCCGACATTTTGCGACTTTGTTGACTGAAAACCTCTTCCGAGTAGCTGTAAAATTTAACTCAGTATAAAAAACCACGACAAACTTATCAGAAAATACTTTTTTTCCAAATCAGCACACTTCTTTTCAAAATATGTCCTCAACTCCTCCATTTCCTTAGAATGTTTAGTGTCTAATTCCTGCTTCAACTCCAACACGTCACTAGAAAAGGGTTTAACATTTTCTAACAATTCCCTCAAATGGGAAATTTCGGCGTCTTGTTCTTGTTTAGCACTGTCAAACTGACTCTGCAAAAAAAAAACTTGAAAAAAAAACACAACATTTTTTGTAGGGTTTACCTTCAATTTGCTGATTTCGTTCTCCAGTTCATTTCTTTTATGTTCAACGTGATTGTTAAAGGCCATTTTTACCTTACTGAATAAAGGAACTTGTGCAGAATCCAAAACGGTTTCAAATTTTGAGCAAGTTTCATCAAAGTCGAACTCAGTCTTTTGCAGGCATTTGTGTTCCTTGAGCAAATTTGAGGTTTTTTCAAGTTGTTCTTGTAACTGGCCAACTTCATTTTTGAAGTGTTGTTTCATTTCTTCTCGATTGAGAATCGACTGTTGTAGGGAATTGGTGAGTTTTTCTATTTGCTCATCCTTGTGGACTATGGCATTGTGATATTCCACTAACTGAAATAGTCAAATGTGAGACTGATACAATTTTGAACGAAAATTTTACCTTGCTATGGCACTCTTCTTGAAACTGTTTATATTCTGTTGTACTTGTCCCAAGACTGTTAGTGGAAGTGTTACTTATTAACTCTCGAAAAGAATCCAACTCTGATGTTAAGGCAGCTATTGTGGTGTCTTTAATTGCGATCAATTCCTCAAAATCACGCACTCTTTTGTAAACCTCATCGTTACTATTCACACTATCATTCTTTAAACTATCACCTAAAGTAAAGTTTGCACTTTTTTCCCCATTATAACTGTTCAAAAGTTTGTCATCTAAATCTACATTTGCAAAAATATCTAAACTCTCTTCTTTTGACTCTGTGTCAGACTTAAACTGTTCGTTGTTAAGTATCTCTTCTAATATACTCTGAGCATTATTCCTGCCTTCCATATTTGTACTCACGAACTTCTCTAAACCATTCAAACTAATAATACTGGTACTATTAAAACTAGAGTTCACTGACGGCGGTTTAGGTTCCTGTGATATCCTCTCATCATCGGAAGGTAAATTTTGTAGCAACAACGAAAAATGTCCAGGCAAACTAGTTACCTCGATTTCTTGCATCGATCTGTCATTTTCTATGCTCGACAAATGCTCTGAAATTGTACTACTATCATCTTTCGGCGGGTCCGATAAAGGCGGCGTAATTGACAACGTTAGACTGCTGCTGTTACTGTTGGGTTCTTCATTGGGACCTGGGACCTGATGGAAATTCTAAATTTAGCATTCCTTACATTCTTTCGCGTGCTATATTTAAAAACACTTACCGGATTGGCTGCCGCCGAATTATGATCTTCCATTTTATAAAAACTTAAACTAAAACTTAAAATTAATGATAAAAGATGGTCACAGTTAAATTATCACAAACGTCAGATTTGACATATTCGTTTGTTTTGTTGTCGTTACGTGACAACTAATTGATTCGTTTTTCGATTAATGTGACAACTTGTAACAACATTAAGAAACAAAATTGTGGCGGAAAATAGGGTAATAGGACAATTCAAACCATTACACAAGTTAATAATAGCGCGCAAATTATAAGTGTAAACATGCAATGGTTTTTTGAAAAATTTCGGTTAAAATGGTGGTGACCTCTGGCTACTGTCATGTAAATGACAAGTGTCAAAACGACACGTCAAAACTTGAGGCGCGGAATTTGACCAATTAGATTTCCCAACTGGCCTAAACTCAGTTCAGTTCTAAAAAACCAAAATATAACTCTCTGACTTTGAGACTTTTCTAACACAAAAATGTAATCTAACTGAATTAAGGTGAACGACAGTGTTATGGATCGTTAAATTGCTTTTAACCTTTCTTCTATTGTTTTGCAGCTATAGGCAACACATAATACGTAATATTGTTGCAGAACTTCTTTTCTATATGTACTGTCCATCCAGTTAATTTAGCCATTGATTAATAGCTAAAAGATTTTGTGGATTAAGTAAAAAAAAAGAGATTTGTCCAGTTCTGATTGTTTATATTATTAAATTTACAAAGTGGGGCTCTATCGTATTGTACACAGATATTGTTTTGGTTTATTATTGCTATTATTATTTTCAGTTTTGCCGGCGACATTGGCGTTTTGAAAAAATGATGTTTTTGGAATTTTGATAACACTAGCTAGTAGAAAAATTGTGGAAAGTTAATTTGACAAAACTTTCCTTGCTCTTGAAGTATAGTCCGACAAATTCCGCTTCTTTAAAAAAGTATAAAATTAGATTTTGCGATTTTCATTTTTAAATGTAAAATATATTCAAAGCAAATAACTAACAGGAAAAAATGTAGTCATTCTCAGTTTCTCAGTATATGCAACTGTTTATCTTTATACTTCGACCGAATTCGACTATTAGCACGTTCAAATTACAAGCATCAGCGGTTAAAAGAAAATGAAATTTGGTTGATTTTGTGTCTTCAACGCAGAGGAAAGGACTAATTAATTAATCCATATTCAGTTTTTTTTTTTCGAAAACACTCATAAATTTGAAGAAATTTGGCAAAAATGTAAGATGACAGATGAATTTTGATTAACGATTTATCATGTTTAAACAGTCTTAAAATATTTGCATGATTTCACAGCAATCGGTTTTTGCAATTTCAAAGACAAATTGTAAAATATTGTCATACAATGTTGCCTTTTAAAGCTCAACACGGATTCATAAATTACACATACAGAAATATTTTATTTTATAAAATTTAAAAATCATTTATTTTGTTCCGCAGAATTCTAAGATGACGTCATAATTTTTGGAAAGACCTTAAACATTTTTTTTTCCTTTCCTTTCCTATAACCTTAGAACGTTTGCAATAGTTCAGTACATTCGCCTTTGCAATTTTAAAGTTAAATTGTAAAATACAATTTTGAATTTTTTCTCAAAAATCTCGATGTCAAGGTTAAAAATTCAACACGGATTCTGAATTACACATACATGGAATATGTAGTTCTATAAAATTTAAGATACATTGTTTTGCAAAATTATAAATGACGTCAACATTTTTTACTAGGCCATAAACGAAAAAAAAAAAATTAACCATGTTTACGATACTCTTAAAAAACTTACAAGTTTTCAGGGCATTCAGTTTTACAATTTCAAAGTTAAATTGTAAATTGTTGTTATATAATTTTGAATTTTTCCCCAAAAATCTGCATGTCTAGGGTAAAAATTCGACACAGATTGATGGAATCACACGTGCACGAATATACAAAATCTAAATATATATGATACCAAAAAAGGGGCAAATTGGTAATAAGTAAAATAGTACATTTCACTTCACATTTTGTTTTTTAATTTATTATCAGGTGCTTTATCATTATTATTTTTTTTTAAGAAAACTGGCCAACAAGGTTCAAGTGTTTTTTTTTGTAAAAATCTTAAAGTCAGCTATTTTTATATGGATTCGTCGAAATCTCTGAAAAAAATCTTTAGAAATCCACAACTTAAAAAAAATGGTCGAAAGTTATTTTGACAGAACTTCCCTCGCTTCCGAAGTACAGTCCAAAAAATACTGATTTTCTAAAAAATTATAAAATTTGATTTTGCAGAATTTTACTTTTTCGTGATAACCTGTATGTAGTAGTAAAAATAATATAGAAAGTACTAGTCACAACAGTGCATTAGAAAATAAGAAGGTTTCACCTTCTTTTGTTTGTTGTAATTATTTGGATCTGCTTTATATTAAGTATTATAATTGGTGTCTCTTTATTATTATTATTATAAAAAAAAGACAGTTGGGAGCCCCGAGAAGATTTAATATTCTTAAAAAAATACATTTGGGGCCCCCGAGAAGGTTTTATATTTTTAAAAAAGACGGTTAGGACCTCCAAGAAGGTTTTACATAAAAAAGGATATTTGGCGCCTCCGAGGTTTTACATTTTTAAAAAAGACAATTGGGACCCTTGAAAAGGTTTCACATTCTTAAAAAAATACATTTGGGGTCCCCGAGAAGGTTTTACATTTTTAAATAATTATTAGAAAACACAGCCTCACGCATACACAGTTTTTTTCGAATTGGCTTCGCAATTGCATCGTGTCGCCATTTGATCGAGTGATTCCCCGCCCGCCGCCCTCGGCGTCTCGAGCTTCCGCATATTGTTATGTCTACTAGGTTGTTTATATATACTACCAGAGAACATAGAGCGCCATAGTTTAAATCAAATGACGGTTGAGGACTTCTCAATTTATGTTGGTAGCAGTGTTTGTTTGTAACTAGGAATAAAAGTAACTAGAAGAAATGTCGTAATATTTTTAACGACGCGTTTTATTTTCGACAAATTGACACTAGATTTACCAGAATATTACAAGCTGCTTACTGTTTCCTTCACTTTCATTCAGGTCACACGAATTACAATTATAGTGAAGCAAGGTTTTTATTGGCATCGACTATTTAAATTTGGCGCTTGCCTTTGGCGGTTGAGGACTCCAATGTCAATAAGGGTGGTTTTGCAAAATCAGCCTCTATGTCGCTTCTCTATGTTCTCTGATACTACTTTGCTTGAACGTGCGAAGTCGCCGATAAAGAAATGACACGGTCAGTGGCGTAACTGAATATACACGCGCCCCCCGCAAAGTTAAAGCTGTACCCCCCTTATATTTAATAATAATAAAGTAATAATTATCATGTTAAGAAGTACGTGCCAAAATAATACTCATTATACCTAGCTTAATTGATAAAAATTTGAGTTTTCCTCTGTTCCCAGCAGACAAAATCAGCCACAGTTGATTTTATTTTTAAACAAATACATATGTACTTTTTAATAGGCGAATTCTTTCGATGTATAAACATAAAAACTCGAAGTTAAGCATGTATTGATAATCTACAGCGTGATTAAGAGGTATTCTTCCGGTCACAAACTAGTTCGGGTTAGCCCTGCTTCCCGCATGAACGATTGCGGGAATGCGGGAAGCAGGCTTCACGAACGTACAATATTTTTTGCAACGAATAAATTTTTAAACCGAAAAAATTAACTGTGAGTTACTTATAAACAGCGACGTTAACGGCGCCGTAAACACTATTTTAAAATTAGCATGGCCACGGAAAGCAAAAAGCACGTGTGCGGAAGATTCAACCTCCTGCATCTTGGTGGATGCGCAAAAGTCATCAAAAAAAGTCGTAAGTGCAAAAAATATTTTTAAAGCACATTATCAACGGTAATAAAGCTATTTGAGCAATATGTGTAGTATAAAAAATGTTAACGTTTATACATCGGAAGAATGTCACGTAGACATTTGTTTGATTTGAATGAGTGTATCGCCTCAAAACAGATGACTAAAATTATTCATAAGCCTCAATTGAACAAAATATTGTGAATGTTATTATTATAATTATTATCTTATCATTATTCTCACATTTTCGAGAAAATGGGATGGCTAGTTCTTAATTTGATCAATAATAAATTGACTGATTCACTATTTTTTTTGAGTCACCGTGTATATGCATATCCAAAAAATTGAATGAAATGATAAATCACAAGTACAGACTCGTCATATTTTGTACATTTTAGATAGGATTTATTCGGCAAACTTTTGAGCTGACGTCATTAATTTTTTGGAGGGGATAAGTAAATATATTTTGATTAAAAATTTATCATGCTTATCGTAGCTGTAAACCATCTGCAAGATTTCAAAGCATTCGGTTTTGCAGATTCCAAATTAAATTGCAAAATGTTGTTTCATAATTTTGATTTTTTTTCCAAAAATCTGGACATTTCGGCTAAAAACTCAATTCGAAGTCGTAAACTACATGTGTAGGACTATGTAATTTCATACAATTTAAAATTGGACAACAATCGGCCCAGTACTTTCGGAGATCATCTGTCTAATAAAAATCCGGACCGACGGCAGACAGATGGACAGGAAATGGGAGACTATTGTTTCGTACTGAGTTTACGATCTGAAAGTAAAAAGATGCTCTATAGTTTTTTATGCGTTTATTATATTTTTAGAAATATTTATTGGAAAAGTGTGTTGTATAAAAAAAAGATTAAGTAGACGGGTTTGGGGTCCACCGGGAAATTTCCCGATATCCCGGCGGCACAATCCGCCACTGTATATCAAAATAGTTAAATAATTAAATACGAATAATAAACGATAAATGTAAACATTGACATAATGACGTGGAAACCCAAGCTGGAGTGGTTTCACAAATTTTAATAAACATAATTCCATAAGTATAATTGTTGTTCCACTTTCCATACAATTGTAGCTGAAAGATAGGTACTATTTGATGTTTCCTTGATTCCATTGTTAAAATAAGAGCGTCAGTCTTTCGTGGCATATCATTTGACTTAGCATATTTACTGAGCTCATTTTACAATAGTTATTACTTATTAGAATGCATTTGTGCTAAAGAAGGTTTCTCTAAAATATAACCACTCCATCAATGTAAGTAATACATGAAGAACATTATGAAAAATAAACTTTTTGTCTGATAACTAACACAGATAGTTTTCCATTTCACGAAACTAAATTAAACAGCTGTGGTTATTTATATTTATACTTATTATAAATGAAAATGCAGCAACAAAAATTAAAAAACTTGCCTGTTTATGTGTCAGCGTTTATAGGTAATAAAGTTTTTAATTTTCAATAGTTTTACATGATATATATTTTTTTTAAGCATGCTTAGTGGCTTTTGTGGCAGGTATTACATTTTCGTGGAGTTCTCCTATGCTTCCAAAATTAAACGGAAACAAGGATCCTGATATTAATCCTTTAGGTCGTCCAGCAACCCTGTTAGAACAATCGTGGATTGCTTCATTACCAGCTTTAGGAGCAATACTTGGACCTTTAATCGCTGGATTAGCAGCAGACAAATTAGGAAGAAAAAAAACACTAATCGTTATAGCTTGTCCTGTACTCGTATCACTACTTATCATGGCCTTTGCAACAAGTGTCTTAGAATTTTATATTGCTAGGTTCATAATGGGTGTAGGGAGTGGCAGTGTGTTCACTATTCTTCCAATGTACTTGGTGGAAATCGCAGAAGACCAGAATCGTGGTACTATAAGTTGCTTGTTCAGCAATTTTATATCATCCGGATTTCTCTTTACTTATATTGTGGGTCCATATCTAAGTGTTCAAAATTTTTGCCTCGTTTGCCTCATTCCTTTGCTCGTTTTTATCCCGACTTGTTTTATTTGGAATCCAGAGTCGCCTCAATTCTTGGCTTCTACCAACAATCTGAAAGAGCTAAAGATTTCTTTGTCGAAATTACGAAAGTACAAAAATACAGAAGAAATTGAGGAAGAAGTTTTAAATGTTAGCAAAACGGTTCAAGACTTGAATCAAAATCAATGCACTATGAAGGATTTATTTAAGAGTCGGGTGCTGTGTAGAGCACTGATAATCACACTAGGATTGATTACTTTACAACAGTTTTCAGGGATCACAGCAGTAATACCTTACATGGAAACAATTTTTGAAATCGCTAACAGTGGAATGGTTCCAGAAACTTCCACGATTCTTGCAGGAGCAGTACAGGTGATCGCAACTATAGCGGCCTCTTCTTTAGTGGACATAGTAGGCAGAAAAATTCTTATACTTGTCTCTACAACTGGCGCCTGTTTCTGCCTGATTGTCTTAGGTTTATACTTTTTTCTTAAAAGTTACGATTATTCAGTTGACGCAATTTCGTGGCTTCCTGTGGCATTGTGTTTTTTAACGTAGGCTTAGCCCCCATCCCGTGGACCATATTGGGAGAATTATTTCCTCCTAACATCAAAGCTAAAGCTGCCACGATCGCTACTATTCTTAACTTCAGTGAAAATTTTATTGTTGTATTGATTTTTCCTTCTTTGTTCACATATTTTGGAATGGACTTTGCTTTTTGGTTTTTTGCAATAATCTGCGCGTGTGGTGCGGTCATAATTTATTATTTTCTGCCAGAAACGAAAGGTAAAAGCTTAAATGAAATTCAAACACTTTTACAAAAATAATTTATGAAATATAAAAACAGTATTTATTCTTCTAATCTTTTTATTCGTGTCAACGGTCTAAAGTCCTAAGATATTGTGTTCGACAATTTTAATTTCGACGAACTTTAAGATGAAGTAGGATACCTAGTATTAACATAATTCATTCTGTTGTGCTATTGTAAATAAAAATGTTAAAAAGTCTTGGTATTGACGTAATTATTTTAAACCTTAAATTGTCTTACTTGGTTTGTTTTTACAGATAAGGCAAGCCAAGAGTAAATTTAAAATATCTCATGCAGTGATAAACGTGCAATTATTTCGTGAACAGAAAATGAAAGATGTATAAATAACTTATTTTTAAATATATTTGTTGCCACGCGTAAACGTTTTAAGCAAAACCATTGATTATGTCTTCAGGGACCACTGCAGAAAAAACTAGAAGGAAAGTTATGCTTATTATTATTATATATGTTGTGCTCAATCTGGCCTAAAAGAATTCCAACCAAATTTGTTTCAGATATAAATCTCCATACTAATATAATAAAATTTGTGGCTACTTTACAAACCAATGGTCTTCACGTATCGTTCGTTTGGATGAAGAGATTGAAGGGTCATATAGTCATATTGGTATACATGGAAATGAAAACGCTTTAGCACGGGCAACCATCCGGACCGAAGTTGAGGAAACTCGATTCCTGGAAACAAGCCATCTTCAATGTTTTTGAAAAACACTTCAGTCCTAATGGTATCAGTAATTGGTAAATTAGTGCAATTCCTCCAAAAACAGTTACTGTATAGTTGTTCCATATAAATTCCCTATGCACCCAAAGTATTCCTTTCATCGGTCATTTACGCCGCCTTCAGACGCCACACGTCCGAGCTCCATTCTATCTGTTCCAGCTAGGAATTCTAGCATTCATTTTAGGATTACGGGGTGACATAATATGTTTTTTAATTACCTGGTACATGCTTCGCACATTAATGTGATTTTATTATAAGTGTCAGTTGTTGGAGATCAATTTCCCACCTCTTTGAACTGCCTTTTAACAAGATTTAAACTTACCGTTTACAAACCCTTGTCTCTGTAGTTCACAGTGGATATTTCATTTAAATTTATTTACCTTGTAGCTACCTATGTTCCTTTTATGTTTATCCTGTGGTTATTAGTTGCGAATGATGTCATTATTGGAAGTATATTCGACCATGGTTTGATCGATGTCTGGAGACAAGTAAATAGCCCTGTGTAAATTTCAATTGTTTCAAAAATCTGGGCAATTAGACTTCAAAAATTGATAACACAATTGTATTACTCATGAGATTAATCTATAGTATAATAATATTCATACTAATAAAACAAAACACTCAAGAATTCTTTCAAATTCTTTCAGCAACAAAACACCGGAAGTCTTCAAGATCCGTTAAAGGTCTTTCAAATATAAAACAAACATCAAGGGCCCTCAAGAGTTTTTAATGTTGTTCTAAAATCAGAAGTTTCCAAGAAGCTTTCAACTTCTAAAAAGAAAATCAACGGTTCCAAAAGTCTTTTAAATTTTTAGTAGGCTAAGGCAAAATGGCACAGATGGAGTGGAATTCGTAGCCATGCCTTTGATCACTCAAGCTACCCAGGCGTGATTCTCCTCACTTACCAAGGTTATATTGTGTAACCACAAATTTCTTAAAAATAAGAGAAACTAGACACCCCCAAGATTCTTTCAAATTATTTCCAAAATAAAACACCAGGAGGTCTAAGTTTCTTTTAAATTTTTAAAACAAACATCACTAGAGACCTTCGAGATCCTTTCGAATTCTTTCAAAAACAAAACACCAGCGACTCCAAGATTCTTTTAAATTATTATTAAAACAAAAGACTCCAAAGACACCCACGATTTTTTTTAAGTTCATATAAAAGAACAGTAGGGCCCCCAAGAGTCATTTTTTTTTTCAAAATGAAGATAGCAGGAACCTTGAAAAAGTGTTCAAAAACAAAACATCAAAGATCTCCAATGGTATTTTATAATCTCTCTCAAAAATAGAACACCAGAACCCCCCAATACTCTTTAAAATTCTCCTTGGAACAAAACACCAGGATCTCCAAGATTCTTTTAAATTCTTAAAACAAACTACACTAGAGATACTTAAGATTCTTTCGAATTCTTTCAAAAATAAAACACCAAGGTCCCCAAGATTCTCTCAAATAAAACACCACGAGCCCCAACATTATTTTAAATTCTTAAAAAAAAGACACCAGGAGCCACAAGATTCTCTAAATGAAGGCAGCAGAATTCTTGAAGATTCTTTCCATTTTTTTTTTTCAAAATGAAGACATACGTGAAATTCTTTCACAAAAAACCGAAGATCCGAGGGTATTATCTGTTTCAAAAATATAACAACAGAGGCCTCCAAGATTCTTTCAAATTTGCTATTGAACAAAACAGTTCTAACGTTCTTAAATTTTTAAAACAAAAGATACTAGAGACTCTCAAGTTTCTTTTAAATTTTTAAAACAAAATACACCAGAGGTCTCCAAAATTCTTCCGAATTCGTTGAAAAACAAAACACCTGGAGATAGCAGGATCCTTGAAAATATGTTCAAAATCAAAACATCAACAATAGAACACCAGGACCCCTAAGTTTCTTTAAATTTCTTTCAAAATGAAAACAGCAGGATCCCTGAAGATTCTTTCAGAAACAAAACATCAAAAACCCCTATGATATTTTAGTCTCCCAAAAATAGAACACCAGAACCCCCAAGATTGTTTCAAATTCTTCCTTGAACAAAACACCAGTAGCTTCAAGATTATTTTAAATTCTTAAAATAAAATACATTAGAGATACTCAAGGTTCTCGAATTTTTTTCAAAATGAAGACAGCAGGATCTCTGAAGAATCTTTTAATTTTTTTTTTCAAAATGGAGACATACCTGAAAATTCTTTCCAGACCCCAGAGTATTTTAATCTTCCTCAAAAGTATAACACTAGAGACCACCCAAGATTCTTTCAAATTTGCTATTAAACCAAAACACCGGGGGCTCTAAAGTTCTTAAATTCTTCAAACAAATGATAGTAGAAGTAGACACCCTCAAGATTCTTTTGAATTCTGTCAAAAACAAAACACCTGGGTCCCCAAGATTATTCCAAATTCTCCCTTAAACAAAACACCAGAAGCTCCAAGATTCTTTTAAATTCTTAAAACAAAATGCACTAGACATACTCAAGATTCTTTCGAATTCTTTCAAAAACAAAACAAGTTTGCTATTAAACAAATCATCGGGAGCTCTAAGGTTCTTAAATTCTTAAAACAAAAGATACTAGAGACCCTCAAGATTCTTTTGAATTCTTGGGTCCCCAAGATTCTTCCAAGTTCGCTCTTAAACAAAGCACCAGGACCTCCAAAATTGTTTTAAATTCCTAAAACAAATAGGAACTCCAAACTTCTTAAAATTTGTTTAAAATGGAGACAGCAAAATCCATGAAGATTCATTGGTTCAAAAACAAAAGACCAATGGTATTTCAATCTTTCGCAAAACTAGAACACCAAAGGCACCCAAAATTCTTTTTTTTTCAAAATAAAGACAGCACGATCTCTGAAGATTATTTTGAAAACAAAGCACTAAAGAGCCCCAGGAGTATTTTAAACCCTCTCAAAATAGAACACCAGGGATCCCAAGATTCTTTCAAATCCTTCCAAAAACAAAACACTAGGGTCTCCTAAATTTTTCTAATTCTATTTAAAACACTAGGTACCCCAAGATTCCTTTTTTTATGAAGACAGTAAGATCCCCGCATATTCATTCAAAAACAAAACAGCAAAAACCCTTAATGATGTTTTAATCTTTCTCAAAAATAAAACACCACGAAGGCCCATGTTTGTTTAAATTTTTTCAAATTTGCTCTTGAATAAAACACCAAGATCCTCCAAGATTCTTTCAAATTTGTTCAAAAACAAGATACCAAAGGCTCCAAGATTCTTTTAAATTCTTAAACGAAAGTCACTAGGAGCATCAAGATGTTTAAATTTTTTTTAGTAATGAAAATAGCAGAAACCACCATGATTTTTTAAAATGTTTTTCAAAAATGAAACATCAAGGACCGCATAATTTTTCCATATTCTTTCAAAAACAAAATACCAGGGATCGCGCGATCCTTCCACTTAAATGGGTTTATTACTACATTTATTACAAAATATTTTACTTATTCTGTTAATTCACAATATTCGCTATGGTAAGAAAGTCCTACGGTTGGGAAGTAAGAAAGAATTTTCAAATGAAATTTATAGAGTTGCCCTATGTAACATGAGTCTAAGTCCCTAGACATGGTCAGATGTCTTTAAATGGTCTCAAACTTGAAAAATGAGATATTTTGCGTCAGTTTTTATATTAGAAAATTGTTTAAATTTTGACGTAAAAAAAATTACACCATATTTCCGTATATATTATCTGTAGATTTACGCTGTCGCTATAACACATTGTGAAAGTGAGGGAAAATGTCATAGCGTGAGTGGGATTCGAACCCACGTCCTCCTCCTACCAGGCGGGTATATGCTGACCGCTGTACTATCAGACACCGTGATTGTATGACGCCACAGTATCAACACCACGAAAGTGTACAAAATCCTGGTTAAGAATAACTTTTTTCGTTAAATTTAGACTTTTCAACTTTACTGTGCTTAAATTGTGTCAGATTCCGAAAAGGAAATGACGTACCTCATTTTGCACGAACTAAAAGATTTAGTAGATAGCGTTCTAAAAAAAATCTCATTGTAAAATAGAATTGATATAACAACAAACAAAAATACGCCTTGACATTGACCAGGTTCAAGGACACAGGAAGTACATAGGTACTTTCTAAACACTTTAAACCAATTTTTCTTAGATAAGTTTAATAACCACAATAGTTTTTCTAGTAAACCGGAATTTAGTAATCAGCTTTAAGTTTAGAGTTTCAAATATATAGTTATACATTAATTTGTATTATACTAATATGGAAACACTTTCAGACTGAATTAATACAAAATAAACTTTACAAATGTTTCTATATACACAACTTTCTTTGGTTTTATCTAAAAAAAAGAGCACGTGTTGAGACACATTAACATTGTGTTTAGAATAATGAACTTACTTACGTTTGTTAAGTAACCACATTTGATCTTGTACCAATATGATTTTTTATGACAATGCGTTTTCGTAAATTTATTCTGGCAGATAACATAATTAAAGACTAATTGCCGACGCTATCACCAACTCAAACCTAACACAGACGTGTTTAATGTCAAAACGCTTTGACCACAGGCGGCAAACATAAAAATGAAGCAAAATTCAAGTAACTCGTTTCTGTATTTGTCGGCAACAATTGGTGAGTTTTAAATTACCAATGTTTATGTGTAAACTGAAACCACAATGTTAACATTAACAGCAAATTTATTGGCATTTACGTGTGGCGTCGCATATGGTTGGAGTTCCCCAGCCATACCAAAACTGAATGGTAGCACAGACCCAAACGACCTTCATTTAGGCAGTCCCATCACTCCTTCAGATGAATCTTGGATCGTCAGTTTGGTTTCGATCGGCGCAATTTTCGGGCCTATCTTCGCCGGAAAATTAGCCGATAAGCTTGGAAGGAAAAAAACCTTGATTATTTTAGCATGCCCCATTCTTGTGGCATTCCTCGTGATGGCGTTTGCGAAAAGTGTTCTTGAATTTTACGTTGCAAGATTTTTGATGGGTCTTGGTGTAGGAAGCGTCTTCATGATTCTCCCCATGTACTTGATAGAAATTGCTGAAGACCACAATCGTGGAAGATTAGGTTGTCTAATGGCTGTTTTCATTAATTTAGGGACGCTTTTTGCTTACTCAGCTGGCCCTTATTTAACCGTCCAAAGCTTTTGTCTCGTTTGCACTGTTCCTTTAATCATTTTTCTTCCACTTTTTTTCATATGGAATCCCGAGTCGCCACAGTATTTAGCTGCTAGAAACAACCAAGAACAACTGAAAACATGTTTGTCGAAACTGAGGAACAAGCCAGTGGGAGAGATTGAAAAAATCATGTTCGGTATGAGTCAGATGATTCAAGAACTTAATCAAAACAACGGTGGAATAAAAGAACTTTTTTCGACTAGAAGTTTGAGAAAGGGTTTAACAATTACTGTTGGTTTAATTTTGTTTCAACAGTTCTCTGGTATTAATGCTGTACTTTCATACATGCAAACCATTTTTAGTGCAACACAAAGCGGTCTTCCTCCAGAAATCTCTACAGTGATTGTTGGTACGATTCAAGTTCTTGTTACAATTGTAACATCTGCACTTGTCGATCGATTGGGAAGAAAAGTTCTTCTGTTAATGTCTGTAAGTGGTTCGGCTGTTTCTTTAATAGCTTTGGGAGTTTATTTCTTCCTTTTTGATAATCATTTTAACGTGGATGCTCTTTCTTGGCTTCCTGTACTGAGTTTGATTATGTTCATTATTAGTTTTAACTCGGGTTTAGCAAGTGTTCCATGGGCTGTGATGGCAGAAGTATTCCCTCCTAATGTTAAATCGCTGGCTTTAACGTTAACAACGGTTGTGTGTTTCATTGGAGCTTCCATTATAACTCTCTATTTTCCTAGTATGGCTTTATTTTTTGGAATGGCTACGTCTTTCTGGATTTTTGCAGCCGTCTGCATCTGTGGTGGCATATTTGTTTTCTTTAGGCTAATAGAAACTAAAGGAAAAAGTTTACAAGAAATTCAGGAATTGTTAGGAAATAGTACGTAATACTGGTTATATTGTAAAGTAATTTTTCTTTTAAATTAAGAATTTATGTAGTGAAAGCTACAAAAAGGCAAATTTTGTATTTAGCTGTTACTAATTCAAGAATATTTATTAGTTTCATTGTTTCTTGCATTTTCAGTTGGCCTCTATATATTCTCATACAGAAGTCATAGGAAAATGTACGATGCAAGTTAAATTAGAAGAAGAGTGGCTGTATTTTCTATTGGTGAAAAATCCTGCAATAAAATTGACACAATTTATTCTGTTTCATTCTATCTATGCTTTCAAGATTTAATAAAAAGTCAAAATTATGACACAAACCTATGACGCATTTTTATTTGAATTCCTCATGAGCTCTGTGCTCCCTGGGCAAACAGAGAAAAACATCTCACCGAAACTTTCAGGCCAAGACGGTGGCGCGTACCAAGGGAGCGGTTGCTCGGGCGCCACCTCGGATACTCTAAGTCACAAAACAGATTTCCAGTTTCATCAGCAGCCGCGACAGAAATAAATAATACTCCAATTCAAGTTTAACAACGTTGGATCTTTATTCCCTACCAGGTTATAGCGGCTAAGAAAAGAAATGATCGGATAAAACAGCAACCAAAAACAAAGAAATGCAATTCGGTCACAGCCGTCTTTTGATTTCACTTGCGGAGCTCGAGTTCAGTATAAAAAAAAGAGACGATGTCGAGGGCACTTGATACAAACATTTGGATATCATAAATTTAAATAAGTAAAGAAAAAAGAAATCGCGATTAAAGTAACAAACAAAGTTGAGTGAAGAACAAACTACGCGGTGTAAGGAGAGTAGCGACAGCGGTTCGAAGGGCGTCTCCTCGTAAAGGTTTATTTGTCTTAATCCCAACTACAACACGCGTTACAGATTTTAAATACTCGCATTCCTAATGGTTACTTCCATTCCCGCAAAAACGCAGGGTTGAAAAAGTGAAAATCTTGAGAAAGACAACAAGCAACGTTAAATTATGTCACATTGTATCAACAATTTCGAAAAACAAGAATTTACATTAGGTTAAATTATGCATTTAAGTCAAGTTATTGATTAAATCAAAATGAGTTCATCAAGATACATCATTTACTTAACAAAAACACTTAAAAACAAAGCATATATGAAATAAACACATACTCCTATTAAATAAGGTCAAAATCAGAATAATATTAAGTCAAGAATAAATGTTCAAATTCAGGTTGTGAGACAATAAATTGTTTGTAAGAAAATTAATATAATACAAAATCAACATAAAATACCTTCATTTTGAGTCCACAGTGATACTAATCTACCAGATTCTCTCAGAACTTAAGTAAAACTTTTAGAAACAGTACCTATTATACAAATTTGTCGAGAACTCCTATAAGTTAAAATAAATTAATGTTTCCTTTACAAAATTTTGTGAAAACGCCATCAATATTTATGCAAGGAAACGTGGATATACCAGTTTGGACAGGTGCAGTATAAGATTGATAAAAACAGTACTGTATTCCCAAATTTCGGGAAAATGGAGTGAGTCGCTCTTGATTTAATCAATAAAATAAAATGTCTTATTCATTAAATTTTGTGAGTCACCCCTCTCATAAGTCACAATGACGTCATCGTTTGGGGAGATTAACAAATATATTTTGTTTAAAAATGTACCGTATTTACAATGACTTTAAAACGTGTGGAAGATTTCAAAGTATTCGGTTTTGGAAAGTCAAAATTAAATTGCAAAATGTTATACAATTTTAATTTTTTTCAAAAATCTTAATGTCTCGGTAAAAAACTCAACTCGGATTCATAAAGTACACGTGCAAGAGTATATTATTTTATATAATTTAATACTGTGTTCAATTTTGAGGTGACGTCAAAATGAATTTACAATGAAACAAAAATAACACGTGTTGGCTAATTCGTCATTTCAAATTAGAAAATCGTTAATTAACTGCTCTAATTACTCTCGCTGGAGAGAACCGTGGCGTCGAATGCGATATATATTTTGTTTAAACAATTGCTTTTTAGTGAACTTACAAATTTAATTATGTAGATGTATCCTTAATTTTAACACGTATTTTCATTGCACTCACTAAACAAGAAGTGGCTCAAGCTCAAAATACGATTGTGAAAAATTGTCTACCTACTCGGTATTCCAAAAGCTCTACCCAAGTTTTTTTTTATTTTCTATTTTTCAAATACGATTTCGCGGCGTTGTTTGAAATTTCAAATTCATCTCACGACAATGCTATATTATTATTTATGAAAAATTGGTCTAAAGGTATTTAGACAGAACTTCCCTCGCTCCTGAAGTACAATCAAATAAATACTGTTTCTTAGAAAAATTATAGGTAAAATTTGATTTTGTGAATCTTATTTTTTAGCATAACTCTTGTAAATTGAATTAAGTATATGTGTGGATTTTTAAAATAAAGAAACGTACTGCGCGTATGGTCCAAGTAAAAAATAAAGCCCGATTCATAAACCACAGGTGGAGAATGTATGTTATTTTATAAAATTTAAGTAAGATTTACAATAAAATCTGCATAGTTGCGGAGATTATCTGTCTAATAAAATGGCTAATCGACGACAGACAGGCGACATATCGGCGAAAACGGGAAACGGGAGATCTACTTTTTCATACTCTATGAGTTATAAAACGTCGAGAAAACATAAAATTAATCTTTCGCTAGAAAAATAAAAAGAACGTGCACGAGTATTGAACGTTTCGAAGACAACTTTTCCTAATTTAGTTGTAAACACCTAGAGGACGGTATTGGGACACTTTAACAATATGTTTGACAATATTATACGTATGTTTGTTCAGATTTGATCTTGCACTAATACGATTTTTGTAACAATGACTTTTCTTTCATTTATTCTGGCAGATAACAATGGACGACTGATAACAGATTGCCAACGGTTTCCTCGAATACAACAAATTAGGTGTCAAAACTTATGAACTAAACAGAGTAACATAAAAAATGAAGCAAAATTCGAGAAAATATTTTCTTTATTTGTCAGCAACAACTGGTAAGCTTTAAATTTAAAATTTCTGTAAATAAAAACCACAGTATTAATGTTATTAGCAAACTTATTAGCTTTCACCTGTGGCATTGCATATGGATGGAGCTCTCCGGCTATACCCAAAATGAACGGCAGCATAGACCCCAACGATCTTCATTTAACTTATCCAATCAATTCTTCAGAAGAATCTTGGATTGTCAGTTTGCTTTCAATCGGGGCAATTATCGGGCCGATTTTTGCCGGAAAGTTAGCTGATAAACTGGGCAGAAAAAAAACTTTGATTGTATTAGTGTGTCCCATTCTTGCCGCATTCCTCATGATGGCGTTTGCAAAAACTGTTATTGAATTTTACTTTGCAAGATTTATCATGGGTCTGGATGTAGGGAGTGTCTTCATGATTCTTCCCATGTACTTGGTAGAAATTGCTGAAGACCATAATCGAGGAACATTAGGTTGTCTAATGGGTGTCTTCCTTAGTTTAGGGACGCTCTTTGCTTACTTAACTGGACCCTATTTAAGTGTCCAAAACTTTTGTTTAGTTTGTACCGTTCCTATGTTAATTTTTCTTCCGCTTTTTTCGGTATGGAATCCTGAGTCTCCACAATATTTGGCTGCTAGAAATAACCCGGAACAGTTGAAAACATGTTTGTCAAAACTGCGGAACCAACCTGTGGAAGCGGTTGAAAAGGAAATAGTTAGTATGACTCACATGATTCAAGAACTTAATCGAAACAAAGGTGGTATAAAAGAACTCTTTTCCGCCAGAAACTTAAGAAAGGGTTTGATAATTAGTGTTGTTTTAATTAGTTTGCAACAGTTCTCTGGCATTAATGCCGTACTCTCATACATGCAGACAATTTTTAGTGCAACACAAAGCGAACTTTCTCCAGAAATTTCGTCACTAGTTGTCGCTATAATTCAAGTTTGTGTCACACTTTTAACATCTGTACTTGTTGATCGAGTGGGAAGAAAAGTTCTTTTGTTGACTTCTTTGACTGGTTCGGCTATTTCTTTAATAGCACTAGCAACATATTTTTTCCTGTTAGATAACCATTTCAATGTCAGTGCTCTTTCTTGGCTTCCTGTGTTAAGTTTGGTTGTGTTCATTATTAGTTACAATTTAGGTTTAGCAAGTGTTCCATGGGCGGTGATTGCTGAAATATTTCCTCCTAACGTTAAATCACTGGCTTTAACATTAACAACAGTTGTCTGTTTTATTGGTGCTTCCATTATAACCCTGTATTTTCCTAGTATGGTCTCATTTTTTGGAATGGCTAGCTCGTTCTGGATTTTTGGAGGCGTTTGAATCTTTGGTTGTGTATTTGTTTTCTTCAGGTTATTAGAAACTAAAGGAAGAAGTTTACAAGAAATTCTGAATTTATTAGGAAATAGTAGATAATATTTAGTTATTTTTTTGCAGTACTGTGATCAGTTAGTTAAATTCAGTTAAATTAAAGTTAAAAAAAATAAATTTTCTTTTTATTTGTGTTTTATTATTAATTTCTAGAAAATTTACCGAACAACTTAGTTTTTTATTTTTTCTCACATTCCTGTATTTGTGATTTAAGAATCCGCTTTGAATTTTTATCCTAAGCATCTAAATTTTCGAAAAAATATATAAATTGATTAATTTTTGCACTTACGGTCTATGTTTTAGATTTTTATTTTATTGAAAATTTGCATTTATGTAACTTTATGCAACACTTAAATAATGTTTAACGCTATTTAATATTAATGTCTTTACTTTACGTCGCTAGTTTTAAAATTATTCTATCATGTTCGGACACAAAGTAAGGATTAATAATTAAGCAAATACCATTCTTATTCAATGAACTTGAAAACCGTCTACTTTTCCATTATCATCGTGACGTAAGAAGTTTTGAAAAGCTTCTTTTTCAATAAACTAAATGATGAAATTTTATGCGATCGGTGTTGTTATCGTAATTAAGTACTTACTTAATGTATTTAAACTGATAACAATTTCAAATAGGAAGCAAACGAATAAAAATCAACAAAACATCACGAACTATGCACGATGAGCACATTAATGATCATCACCAAGATGGAGCAAACATCAGGAAATTTTAGCTTATATTTGTCAGTGGTTTTTGGTGAGTGTAACTTTTAGGTTTTACATCCAATAATAATAACAATTTTCAACAGCAAATTTATTAGCAATGTCTTGTGGCGTTGCCTATGGATGTACCTCCCCTGTGCTTTCAAAAATGAATGGAAGGTTAAACCCAAACGGTATTCATTTAGAACACCCAGTGACTTCTTCTGAAGAATCATGGATTGTTGGTTTACTGCCGCTAGGTTCCACTTTTGGCCCAATTTTTGCCGGTATGGCAGCTGATAAGTTTGGTCGAAGAAAAACACTGATGTGTATCGCTTGTCCCATCCTAGTAGGGTTCCTTATTCTAGCGTTTGCTAAATCCGTTCTTTTAATTTATATTGCAAGACTGATAATGGGTGTTGGGATTGGGAGCGTCTACATGATCGTGCCCATGTATGTAGTAGAAATTTCTGAAGATCACAATCATGGGATGTTGAGTTGTCTAACGGGAGTTTTCATCACTCTGGGATTTCTTTATAGTTACTCAATTGGTCCGTATCTAAGCGTTCAAAATTTTAGTCTCGTATGTGCCATTCCTTTATTAGTTTTTTTACTGGCTTTTTCCATATGGAACCCAGAATCTCTTCATTATTTAGCCACCTCCGATAACCAAAAGCAACTGAAGATAAGTTTACTGAAACTCAGGAACGAATCTGTTGAAAATATTGAAAAAGAAATGCTTCAATTGAACAAGATGGTGCACGAGTTTAGTCAAAATAAAGGTGGATTAAGTGAACTTTTTTCTTCTAAAAGTTTGAGGAAAGCTTTGTTCATTTCGATTATTTTATTTATTGTTCAACAGATGTCGGCTGTAACTGCTGTCCTTTCTTATGCTCAGTCAATTTTTGATGCTACTGGTGGTAATGTTCCACCAGAAATTTCTACTGTGATTATAGGCACAGTTTAAGTCTTTGTAACTGTTGTAACTTCAGCTCTCACTGACAAATTAGGACGAAAAATTCTTATATTGACGGGTACGTGCGGTTGTAGTGGTTCCTTACTTCTTCTAGGACTGTATTTGTTTCTTTTAAATAGCCACTACGACGTCGATTCTCTTTCATGGCTGCCAGTCTTCAGTTTAATTACATATATTATTTCTTTTAATTTGGGTTTATTAAGTGTACCGTGGACTATCACGGCCGAGTTATTCCCACCCAATGTTAAATCAGTTGCTATGACAATAGCAAGTGATGTTTGTTACATAGGGGCTTTTCTGACTGGTTTCTGCTTTCCCTATTTGAAGTTATATCTAGGAATGGCATTGTCCTTCAGGATTTTTGCAGCCATGTGTATGTTCGCAAGTGTTTTTATTTTCTTCATATTACCAGAAACTAAAGGAAAAAGTGTACAAGAAATTCAAAATGTACTGGGAGGTGACCTTTGGTTCAGCGATTAGTAGTGATTTTGAATTATCTGTAACAAAATAATAACTGTTCTAAAAATTGTGTAATGTGTATTTATAAAAAAAAAATATTCAAAATGAAAATTTGTACGTATGACCTGTCGAAAGAAGACTATTGTCTAAAGAGGGTTTGTAAGCAATAATTACAATTTTTAAAGTGGATTTGCCTATGCACTTGAAAATCTGAACAAAATTGATTCTTATCACAATGATGTTCCATATTAGCATATGAGCAGTACAATTTATGATTACTTTCTCTGCGAAAAGAACTGAATTGGATTGTGAACTGATTCATAATAAAGCAGTAACCCCGAAATTTCAAATTGATATCATACAGCTACAAGAAGCATGCTATATATCGTTCCTTCAACACGTCGTTTTTTATAAAGTCTGGTTGGCTTTTGAAAATGAGCATTTTGACTTTTGGCGAGTGCTGAGAGTAGATGAAAGTTCGGTCTAAAGACTGATAGTAGTATGCATCAATCTACTTGTTTTCTTAGGTAGTATAATATTAATAATAATAATAATAACATATATATATATATATATATATATTTAACCCAAGAACAAAATACAAAATGTCCAAGAAGGGTACCATTTAGGACACACTTTAAGATAATAAAGAAGAAATTAATAAAAATATTATGCCTAATTAAAAAATTAAAGGAATACAATGTAATAAATAAGTATACTAAATAAGTATCTAACTTACAGTAATACACGCATTTTAAGTGCTGTTGAAATATCAGAATAGAATTTTTTTTTATTATTTAGAAAGATATCTGCAAATATTTGTAACTCATTATATAATGTACACATCAATAACATAGGTGAACTTTTATGCTGGTTAGTTCGTGCACCTGAACAATAAAAAGTTTTAACACAACGTATACCTAACCTAGGGACGTTAAAGTTTAACATCTCTAACAATTCAGAGTTGTCTATGTTGTTATGAATGATGTTATAAAGACACATTACAGAACTTATTTGTCGTCTTACATAAAGTGGATCTATATCAAATTCTGTCACAAGATTATAATATGGATAGCCACGCTCCGGGTACTCTCTATGTTTAACAAAATATAAGTATTTTAAAAATTTGCGCTGGATTGACTCAATGTTGCGAATGTGTATTTGATAGTGCGGGTTCCATATTATGCTACAGTATTCTAGATGACTTCTCACAAATGCAAAAAATAATATTTTGAAACTATCAATATGTGTAAAACTTCTAGAGTTCCTTATTATAAAACCAAGCATCTTGTACCTACAACATACTGATAATGTGGTATAAATGACAATACTGGATCAAATATGACACCTAAATCTTTTTTAACGTCACACCTATTAATTATATATTAGTATAACAACTAATTACGTCGATTTTACCATAGTTCACTCAAAGCTTGAAATCTTAACCCTGAAAACTCTCATTTAAACCTTAAATCATTCGAATTTGACATTTTAACAATAATCAATAATAATTACGATGATTAAATTAAGGATATTAATTTTACTGATGATAATTCTCAAGGTTCTTTTCTTCAAATGTATCAACGTTTAAATTTAAATGAAATGAACTATTATAAATTTCAAGTGAGAAGTTATAAAGTATGAATGATTTAATAATTTAAATAAAAACATCCATAACCTCGAATTTATATATATCGTGATTAAATATGCGTTAAGCCTGAATTTCCTGTTACGTGTTTTAACTATATGAACATTTATTTGTTATTGCTAAATTGTATTAGAACCATGAACAATTAAAATTTTCAAGATGAACTGTGAATTTACCAAGAATGAAATAAAAAGAACACGTGTTGTTGGAATAGTCAAAGTTTTACAAATTTCAAAATTGAAAATCATCTACCACCATCTCGGATTCTTGTGTACAATTACGGTTTGAATTATCCGATTTTCCAATTTTCCAATTTTTTTAATTTACGAGTTTCGATTTCTCTATTTGTTGATTTTTCAGTTTTTCGATTTTTAAATTTTAGATTTTCGAATTTTTATTTTTTTGATTCTTTGATGTTTGGATTTCTACATTTTTCAATTTTAAGATACATATTTTAATTTTTTCAATGTTTTAAATTTTCGATTTTTCGATTTTTGAGTTCTTCAATATTTTTTAATTATTCAAATTTTGACGTTTCTGAATTTTTTTCAGTTTTCCGATTTCGCAATTAATCTAGTTGAAAAATTGAGAAAGATAAAACAGTCGAAAAATTGAAAAATCTAAAGTTTAAAAAATGAAAACCTGAAATTCCAAATAATAAAAAATTGAAAAATCGAAAAATCTGGAAGTCGAAAAATCTTTTTTTTTAATTTAAATGTAAGTTACAGCGTGGAGGATGTATATAATCGAAAAAATCGTAATATTCAAAAATCCCAAAACTGGAGGAAATATCCAAGAATTGAGAAAGTAAAAATTGAAAAATTGAAAATCGAAAAATTCGAAAAATCGAAGAATTGAAGAACTGAAAAATCGAAACTTTGAGAAGTCCAGAAATGGGAAAATCAAAATTAGATTAATTGAGAAATCGGAAAAGTGAAAATTTAGTACCGTCAAAATTTGAAAAATTGAAAAACAGAAATACTGAAGAACTGAAAAATCAAAAAATCGAGAAATCGATAAATCTAAAATTTAAAACATTGAACAATTAAAATACCGCAAAATTGAAAAATCGGGAAATCCAAACATCAAAAAATAAAAATTTAAAAAATTGAAAAATTGAAAATTCAGATAACTGAAAAATCGAAACAATGAAAAATTAAAAAAATCGAAAAATCGATAAGCCCAAAAGTAAAAAATCGAAAAACCGAGAAATTCAAAAATCCGAACATCGAAAAATTCAAAAACTGAGACATCGAGAAATCTAAAAATCAGAGGATCGAGAAATTGGGGAGTCGAAGACCGACAAGAAAAGTTAAAAATTGAAAAATTGATGAATCGAGAAACTGAACAATCAACACATCGAAACATCTGAATGCGATAAAGCGAGAAATCAAAAAATTGAAAAATCGAAAAATATTTAAAAAGAAAAATTGGAAAATCTAATGGTTAACGAAAAATTGAAAATCCAAAAAGTAAAAATAATTAAAAGCTCAGAAAATTAAAAAATTTAAACATAGGAGAACTGAAAACTCGAGAAATCGAAAAACTTAGAATTCAAAAATTGAAAAATTAAAAAATGGAAAAGTTGAAAGTCGAGAAAACGAAGTATAAAAGAGTCGAAAAATTGAAAACTCTAAAGTTTAACGAAAAATTGAAAATCCAAAAAGTAAAATATCGAGAAATCAAAAAATCCAGGAGTTTAAAAATCGAAATATTGAAAAATCAAAAACCAGAAAAATCGAAAAATTGAAGAATTGAAAAAAATAGAAAATTTAGGAAGATGGAAAATAAAAAAAATGGATCACTTCAGAAATAGGAAAACTAAAAATTTAGAAACGTCGAAATTTGAAAATTTGGAAAATCGAAATCCTTACTTAGGTATATAAAATCGTAAAATTGAAGAGGACAAAAATTGAGAAATCGTATCATTGAAACAGGAAAATTGAGAAATCACAAGTTCAGGAGTACTTTTACTGCTACTTTTTAACATTTGAATAACATTTATTAGACAAAATTGTAAGATGACATGATCAATTCCTGGGGGGCATTAACCGATAAATTTTGACTTGACTTTTAACATACTTGAAATAGCTATAAACTGGAAAATGTTGTTGACTTTTTTCCAAACATTTTGACGTCTAAGGTAAAAACTCAACACGGATTCATAAACCGTGTACTGAGGATATAAAATTTAAATTACATCTACTATTGTAAAATTTGGAGATTACGTCATTTTATTGTTGGTGACAAATTTTGGTGAGCGTTTTACCATTTGTTAATACAATTTGAAAGGTAAATTTTGTCTTTCGGGAACATTATGTATTAAATCGTTGAAATGTTCAAGAATTTTGTTCACTTATTCGTTGTAAAGTCCGACCAGATGGTCGAAACGGGTTAGTTCTTCGTAGTGGATGTGTATCAGATCAGCTTTAACGAATTAACGAAAGTCGGCTTATAGATAAATCGCTTATGCCCATTTGCACCAACGTTAGCAGTAAGCATTGCTTAGCTAAGCAATTCTTAAAAGTAACTACTTCTTAAATTGTACAGTTGTTGCACCGTCACTGCTTAGACTCTACTTAACCACAGAATATCATACAGTAATGATATATAAAAAATTTAATGTGTAAATATATTATGATTTGATCATTACAGAAATCAGGCGGTGTCACCTATAAATCAGCTGCTTACTACATTACGATTCTTTGCAAGCGGGGGCCATTTGAGTACAGTAGCGGACTATATGGGAATGCACATCTCAACTGTGTCGAGAATAATTAGACGTGTATCGGACGCTATAGCAAGACTTTACCAGCGTTTTATTAAGATGCCCCAAACTCTCATGGAGCAAAGGCTTATTCAAAATGGTTTTTTTGACATCGCGAGATTCCCTAGAGTGATTGGGGCCATTGATTGCACTCATCAAAATTGAATCACCAGGTAAAGATTTAAAAAACCAAAAACACATTCTTTTCATTGGAACGTTTTTAAGGTGGAGAAAATGCTGAAGTTTTTCGCAATCGGAAAGATTATTTTTCAATTAACGTTCAAGCCATGTGTAATGCGAATATGGAGTTTACAAACGTAGTTGCTCGGTGGCCTGGTTCTACTCATGATATGACCATTTTCAATAACTCGATTTTACGAGCAAATTTTGAGAATGGAGATTATCCAAATTGTATAATATTGGGTAAGTTTCAGTTTTTAATATGTGTAAAAATACATTGCATTTGTTTTCAGGTGATGGTGGCTATGGTGTAAGACACTATTTTTTTACACCATTATTAAATCCACACACTCAAGAAGAGCAGTTGTATAATGAAGCTCATATTCGTACAAGAAATGTCATCGAAAGAACTTTTGGTGTCTGCAAACGAAGATTTCCTGTGCTAGCATGTGGATGTCGATTAAAAAAAGAAACTGTTTTGAGTATTGTAATTGCGTGTGCAGTCCTGCATAATATAGCTCGACAAATGGGTGAAGATGAACCTCCTCTCCCAGCTGACATTAACCAGCATGAACTGCAGCGACTTATTGAAGATGGTCAAATATCAGAGGTCAATGTTATTGACAACCAAAGGAGGGGTAGTGAAATTAGAAGAAATTTTATAACAAATTTTTTTGGAAATTTATAAATTTAACAAATAAATGTTTTATTAATATTTTATTTTATATTTTATTGTTTTTCCGTATTATCCTGTTTCAGTTTTCTCAGCTGCTCCTTTTTTATTTCAATATCTAATTCTAAAATTTGCTTTCGAAGCAAAAATTCAACTTGCTTTCTTTCTTCGTCATGTTTTTGTCCTTCGAGTTGTGCCTCAACTAACTCCATTTTCTTTGTAGCTAGTTCGTCGTAAGCTTTCGACAAATGGCTGGAATGTAGTGCTGTTATTGTTGGCCTCCTCCTATTAATGACTGATTAATGTTAAGACAAAGGTCTTTTCATCTGCCGTAAAATTTGCTCCCCTCTGGCGCTTTGTATTATTCATCTGAAAATAAAACATATGTACATAATTCTTTACAACAAAACGTTGTAACTGTGGTACATATCTTCTTTATATTATTTTTTGTCTTGTTAGAACTTTATTCCACACTTTTCACCGCTGATTACAAAACACTCACGAACGCTGCTACTGTTGAAAGGTTGAAATGGCTAAAAGGATTGCAAAATTGCAAATTTTCGATTTCCAAAACCATCAGCCAATAGAAACGAAGTATTGTTCCGTTACTATGGCTACCGCACATGCGTTGTATCGTTGTGTCTCGTTAAGCACTGCTTACAAATTTAAGCCACAGGTAAACGGGCACTTAAATTAAGGATTTCTTAGAAGGCTTTAAGAGAGAGTTAACCGTTGGTGCAACGCATTCTTAGTTTTAAGAAAAGCTTAAATTTTAAGTACCTGACTTAAACGTTGGTGCAAATGGGCATTAGAGACGATATTGGCCTGAGTGCGCTCTGGTCTGTAGATCAAACAAGTTCTCAGGCGACGTTATGGCATTTAAACTAAATCTCAATATGTAAAAGGTGATCATTGTTTACCATAGACGTTTGTGATAGCAACTTTACATTAGGTCCACATAAGAGTTTAGTAATCGTGCTGAAATTTTGATTTTTAATTAGCCACATTTTTTTATAATTGAAATAATTGCAGAATATTGGAATTTATTGTATAAAATTTCCATTTTTATTACTTTCAACAAAAATGCAATTGTTTGAGAAATTATTCTATGTGACTTTTTACCATTCATGCCTTCAGTCCCTGGCGTTATCAAATATTGTCATTATAATAAAAAAATAGGATTTTTTAGTTACAACACGCAATGGATGAATGTAGATCACGTTTGGTCACGAAACTGCACACAATAGATCACTATATTTACCTAGTTCCAGACACGACGACACGATTCAATAAGCAGAAAAACTACCTGTCTACATCACACACAAGCTATTACAGGTTCAAGCGGCAATTTGTTTGACATAGTGGGTCTACTTTTCATAGAAAAAATGTTTAGTGCAACTTTTTTAAAACTACTTTAACAGTCATTACAAACACATTTCAAGATTCTCAACGAGTATTAAGGAAGACATCGCCTCTGTGATAGTAGATTATATCAAACTTAGAACGTTCAGATATTTCTCACTTATAGTTTGATACGATTTTGGTTGATTTTGTTTATTTACATGAGTTTGTGAGGTTAGTTGACAGCTCTCATTGATTCGGGGTATCGATATTTTCCCCTCCCTCAATCAATTTGGGTATTTCAGACCGCGCATGCCACAGAAAGGAAAAAAAAAAACCAGGAGGGACTCCATTTTAATTTTTCGAGTCGTTGGGAACGGGTGCAAGTGTTTTCAGGGTATCCAGTGCGAAGGGGCCATTTTTGGAGGTAGAGCCCTTATTTTAGCCAGTTGTGGCATTACTCTTCTCCAAATTGCGTTAGAGACGATTTGAGGCCACCGCATTTGGGAACGAGGACGTGTGTCCTGTGTTTTTGAGACCCCCGAAAATCTACTTTAAGGCCGCACACCAGGGGCGGTTTGTCCTATGAGGCAGGTGAGGCAGTGCCTCACCAATGAATTTTACGCCTTATTAGGATTTTTATTATTTTATACGGACACATTTCGGCCAATAATTTGTGTCTTTTTTCTAAAATTTTAAAAATAAATATAGAAAATTATATTCTTATTTTTATCTCGGTAGGTACTCGTTGCTCCCTTAATTAAACAGCGCGCTTAAACACTCGGCACAACATGTATTTTGTGACGCGAATGAGGCCGACTCGAAGCTTGCCTCTACAGCATATATAGAAATCATGTCGTTAATAGGCAAGCAACCTGCAATACACTTATAAGCGGTATGAGTTGAAAAAAGACAAAATTGAGGCTAGCCTCATTTCCGTGCTTGCAAAAGAGATGGACAACTATAATATTTGCGCGCGGGGAACGTGCGATTGCAATGCAGTCTGCATTCGCAGGAGTATTCAAAATTAGGCCGTTGATTGTTTTGCCACAAATCTGTGTGTGTATAAATTGATTCAAAATTTCGGTAACAGAATTTTGTCTTAAAAGTGCCTACGTTTGCGTGGGTCGCGTTAGTGCTTTGTGCTTGTCATAATTTGATTTCGGTAATCGTTATTTAAGATTACGAGTAAATCGGAATTTTTCTCTACTAACGTTAAATGACAATGGCAGTTCTGTTTTTTCTACTTTCACGTATGATGATAAATTTTGTATGTAGTTAAGGAATTAAAACCGCCGGTTCCTGATTTGAGTAAATCGTTAATTGACCCATAAAAAAAATTTAAAATAAATCCGTATTTATATTTTATATTTTTTTCATTTTGTTTTTTGTTATAAATCAAATTAGCTTTATTTTATGTTGTATTTGATCTTTTTCGATATGTTTCCTTTAAAGTTTATTTTAATTTTGTTTTTTGTTAGAAGTTATATTAGTTTTTTCTGACCACGCTTCCCTTTCCTTTTGTCCTGTCATTCTCATCCTTTCCTTGCAAGACCTCCTTACACCTTCTTGGTTCTTTGTGGACAGTTAAATGAGTTTACAAATTTGTTTATTTGACTAAATAGAAAATATTTAAGTAATCTTGATTTATTTATATTTTAGAGCGTTTTGTGCTGTGCCTCATCAATTTTTCAAGTCATGAGCCGCCCCTGCCGCACACCATCAGAGGTAATTACTGGATTGGGTTCTGGATTGAAATTTAGTCAATCTTCTTTTCAGGCCTTTTTTTTTCTTTTTCGCATTACTTTTACCATTGGGTTTTTTTTCCCTCCTCGTTTCTACGTGTTGCCATCTTTTTGCGCTCTTGGCGTGGAAAGGTTTTTCTGTGTGAAGTTTGGACGAAGGTCAACTAGCCGCCCCGCCCCACCTCATTTTCTAAGTGAGGACGCCGTGTTGAACTCCGGAAAGAAGGAGAGGCGTTAGTTATAGGGTATTAGGTATTATTTTATTTTCTTGTATTTTATTATTATTTTCGGTTATTTTCGGCACTGTTGCGGTACGGACGCGAAGTACTCATAAGGTTAGAATAGTAATTTATTTAAGTTTTTTTTTATATTTAGATCGATAGTTTGTACTCAGTCACACAGTCACTCACCTCCCCCGTTCTAAATAAATTTAATTAATTGTAGGCTCCAATCTTTATTTTTTTTTTGTACCATCACCCACGGCCTTCCCGGTTGAGCCTAGTCGCGGTCGAGAGCCACGTAACAAGTTCACCAACGAAAATAGTGGTTTTACGAGTTTCACTCCTTCACCACCCTTGTTGACAAACATTGCAACTTATTAGATGCAAATTTATGACACCATGCCAAACTTAAATAGATTGATCTTGATCTTTGTTGGTGTATACATGTGATCCGAATGTCAAAAGCATATAACAAAATACAGAAAGAAACAAGACTACGTGAAAAGGTTTGAAGTCATTAATCATTTAACAAGATCAAATACGCTGACATAATTAACTAAGATGCGCCTGAATAACACCTAATCAAAATTACTGACCATACTTCAATCCGCCCACACGTCTAAATGGGCAGACAACATCACGAAAACATTATTGGTACCCTAAGGCTAATAAAAGAAACTACCAGAGGCAAGCCGGCGTGACTTATTAGACATCAAGTCTTGTTTTTGAACAAATGATATGCAACGATTTGTTTTTACTTGTTTTATTATAAAAATGCCTTTATTTTTTTCTAAAGTAGAGAATTGAATCAAATTTTTCATGGAATGTTTACAAAATCAACTATCAACACAAATAATTCGATTTGTAGCTTCTGCATCGAATTTTTGATATTTCTCTTGCACTGAAACTTTGTCATAAGTTGTAATTGGAGTTTCGAGGGCATTCTGCTGCTAAAATAAATCAACTGAACTGAAGGACACTAATAAAGAGGGGAGTTATATCCGCAAATTAGTGAGTGTGGGTAGATTGGGACGGTTATTTTCACAAACTCACGTTTTATTAATCTAAAGCTTGATAAGTCTTTGTACACTAAGCCTACATTTTTGACCTACTAGATTCATTTCAGCTGACATATAGTTTGTACGGAAATTTAAAACGTGTTAGCTTACCAAAATAAATTAGTGGAAAAAAATGTAAGTTTTTACTTTATAAGTTTTTATGTAAACTTTTTGGGAGTATTTTTTTTTAACATAGCATGAACATTTAGAGAACAATTATTATTTACAACAATTTTTAAATTTACTTTCTAGAAAGGTTAAAAATTTTACAAGTTTTTGCTTTTACTGATATTTTTTTAGATGTAAATGGGTGTCAGAAATTAAGGACAACAGGTCATAAGAGATCCAAACAATTTTGACAGGATAACGTATTTACCAACTATTATTTATATATTCTGTTTAGTGTTTGAGTATGATTATGTTATCAAAATATCTACTCGGGGATATATAAAGAGACAACAAGTGGATCACTCATTACTTACCCAAAAGCTGCATTGTTTTACAAGAACACAATGTCACAATTTTGTGAGCAAATTTGTTGACAATCATTAATATCACACTCAATAATCAATGTTTTGTAAGTAGTTTTTGCCCTATTGTTCATGAATACGAGTATGTGTTATATTTATTCAAAGTTGGTCTGAATTACATTCACTTTTTTACGTGTATTTAATTGTCAATA